CTCCTTCTCCATCTGCCTTCTGCCTTCTCTCTTCTTCTCTCTCCTTTTTCTCTGCTCAGTTCTACCCTCCTTCTGGGTGGGGCAGGGAATCTGGAACTTCCCTTCTCCTAGGAACCACCCAGTTACATATCCTGTTCACTTCTGTCAGCAGGAGCTCAATCCATGTCAAGTAAATGTTTGTACTTCTAAATTTTAAGATTGGGTCATGCCCATTTTTAGAGTAACTTTCAAATTTTGGAACCATTTTAGATTTTCATAAAAGTTGCATAAATCGGCATCCCAGAATGGGAGGCACATGCTGATAGTGTCTCCAATCTAGGCGCCATAGGATATCCAGATGAGTTCAATGAATCTACCACCAAACCACAGTCCCCAATGTTCTTCTAAGGGGAAAAATAATAATATATGGCCCAAAAAATTAAAAACAATGTAGAAAAAAGTGTTGGGAGTGACCAAAGATTTACTGACAAGGGCGGTAAAGAATTTTGCCTTGCATCCAAACTTGATAAAGTGGTAGTAAACTGACCTTGAGATGGGACTAGCTGAAGGTGACAGCGAACTGGGCCTCACATCAAGGACACAGCGATGAGTCACCCCTTTGGAATCTGAGTTTAGAATCTATATGAGACCCTTCCCCCTTATAGAGTTGGCAGTAGCTGCAGACCACACCCTAAGGGCTCTGTCTCAGCTGCTATCCAATAAACTCTGCTTGTTCAGCCTTTCTGCCTCCTGCCTTCCTTTCTTGCAGCTGGTCACAGAAGTTGGGACAAAACAAAAGGTAATGAAAAAATAAGAGTACAAAACAAACCCCCAAAAAAACCAAAACACAAATCGTGCAAAGAGCTCCAATATATTGCTCTTTCAAGTTTCTGTTACTTAAATCTGCTTTAACTCAGATACCCCCATAACTACTGAAAAATTATGTTTCTTAATTGTGTTGTTCTTCTTGCAACTCTAGGCTTTTTTTAGATATGATCCACAAATCCACTTTTTTGCTCTAAGAAACCACGCTTCATTGGTCCTGCAGTCTCCTTGGTTCTCCTCCAGTCTGGGACAACTCCCCAATCTTTTCTTCTTTTTCAGACGGGGATGTTTTTGCAAAGTACTGGGTTTTGGATGGTGTGTGTGTGTGTATGGCGGTATGGGTGGGGGGGGCTGTATAATGTCCCTATATTCCTGCGGTTACAGATTGCTGCCAAGAAACCCTCAGAGGTTGCATGACCTCACTACATTATTTTGGGACCTTGTGGGTCTCAACACAGTGGTATATGCCATGTGTCTGTCACTACACATGGGATTTAGACCGCATCAGCCTGATATGACCTCCCCCACAAAACAGGATAAGCTAGCACCTGCCAGCCACTGTCTACCACTCCACATATCCTTGAGTAAGAGGAGCAGACCAAGAGGCAATGCTCCCAAGCCCAGGAAATGGCTCTTAAGAATCTAGTGAAGACTGAAAAGCAGGGCCCACCCAGGTTAAAGCACATACAGCACTAAGAAGTTATCAGCAGCCACTGCAGCACAGTTCAATCCCTGGGCAGAGTACAGCAGACCTCTCCTGACCAACCTGCTGTTCCCTTCAGCAGTGTGTTTCAATACATTTGCCTGTCTCAACTCTGTCTCTGGTGAATCCTCTCACACACATACACACACCTCTAGCCTGTACCCTAGTTCCTGTATGCATAAATAAATCTTAAAAAAAAAAAACTTAAAAAATAAAAGACTGAGGGCAGCAAGGAACCAGCATTTATTGATTAAGGGGCAAGCAAGAAAAGAGCATTTTGGATGACCTCTCTGGGCATGAGAGATTCCCCAAGGTGCTAGGAGTCTATAGTGGTTTTAGGAACAGGGTTTGAGAACAAAGAATTAAACTTATTGTCTGAGAGAACAAGGAGAGTGGGCTTGGCTCAGATTCATTACTGGTAATTGAGTCATACCCATTTTTAGAGTAAACTTTCAAATTTTGGAACCATTAAAGATTTACGGAAGTTGTGTGAAACGTACAAAGAGCACTACTCAGCTGCAACTCGGTGGTGGTGGAGCCTCATGACCAGCACGAAAGTGGACATGTCATGAGGGCTGTGTGCTCACAGCTCCAGATTGAACCATTCCGGGATCAAGGTCTGTGACTTTTTCTGGGCCTGCAAACCAGAAAGCTCTTTTTAAAATGTGCCAAGGAAATTTATGGCAGCAGATGTCAGAGTCTAGTCATCAGATTTTTAATCTCTTATTACCAGCCTACAGGAACATCAAAATTCTTATCCCAGTCTCCTCGCTGTCCTGGCACCCCTCCTATCTCATCTCTACTGTGAAGTTCCTTTCCATGTGTTATTCTTTAGGTGGCAGTCGCTAATTCCTTTAAGACTGATCCACTCTCAAAAGCTGGCAGCAGGAATTGAGTTCCTGCTGCAATGGGGCTGGGAAGGTATATATTATTTGGAATTCTAAGGCGGGTTTGACCATTCTGCCCTCAAACCCCTTTTTAAGGCTAGGAAACTGAGGGTTGTAAATGACACATTTCCTCACTGGAGAGTGGCCCATCTCCGAGGGAGGCCCCTCCCCTAGCTGCGATCTAGGACTGTGGGTGTGGTGGGCGCCCCAAATGTGAAGCAGGTGTTGACTCTAGCTGGCTGACCAGAGACAGGAAATTGGTCCCCCAGCCGCCTTTCCCCACACAAGCTGCAGCCTCAGCCAGCGAGAATGGGCCGCCTGTTCTGAGATGGTTACCCATTTTACAAATGTTCTGCCGGTGACCTGAAGGAGGTGCTCAGTGGCCAAACAGCATTCTCAGGCGTGACTGGCTGAGCCTGGTAGGGAGCGCTGGGCAGGGGAGACTGAGTTGCCCGCCCTCCCCGCCGGGGATCACCTGGGCCACCGTGTCCTTAAAGTCGGGCGGGCGCCTCAGATGTGGAGTTTACCTAACTCCAGCAGCTCGGCTCAGCGCCTGGACTTGACCTGGTGGAGCAGCCTACCTCAAGTGAGACAGCCGGCCAGACAGGTTTGGTCAGGGTGGGGGAAGGAGAGCCCTGTCTGTGGGGGAGGGTCTACGCCTGCCTGATAACCCACTTCCTCCCTCCTGCATGAGGGAGGGACTTAAGGGACGGAAGCAATCAAGAGTTACCCTGTACTGGTGACAGTGGGGCTGATTACTATACCTTGCTGAGCCTTGTATCCTGGGACTGAATGAGGTTCCCCCATTACCTTTGCAGGGATCATAGGGACCTCTGGAATATGCAGGGGTCCAGTCGGTGGTAGGGAGGTGGCAAGAAGGCCACAGGCTGGCCAAGAAAGCTACAATTGCAGGGGTTCCTCTGCCCCAATCCTACTGCCTGCCCTCTGGGCTGCAGTCACGTGGAGGGCCAGCAGACAGCTGCTGAGGATGTGAGGGTCAAAAGTGTGGTCATGAGGCTTGTCACCAGCTGCCTCCTGCTGCAGGAATGGGGGTGGGGAGGAGGAAGATGTGGGCAGGACTTTCTGGAAATGGGAGACTGATGTTTGGGGGAGGGAGGTGACCCTGGGGTGTGAACTCCAATGTTGTCAATTCACAATAGAGACCTATCCCAGAGGCACAACTCAAGTGAGGCACAAGACAAAGACACACAAATCCTCATATTCACAGATCCACTTGAGAACTTGGATGCACACTGCAGACCCACCACGTAAGCTTTGCAGCCTCAGGGTTCACCTTAGCCCCAACACAGACCTCTCCACACACAAAAGACTTGCTTGGTTACACACAGGAAACAGCTCAGACACACCCAGACACAAGCAGACCAACTTGTCTCTGAGAACATGGACACACAATATGAGTCTATCTGAGGCACACAGACACCACCCATGGACAACATACACAGATAAAGGGGTGCTGGTGCCCTAATCACAAGCTCATGAGGGCAGGCACAGAGGCCATGGGGGCCAGACCCCCACCCCAATCTCGTGTCTAGAGCTGGGGAACTCCAAGACTCACATGACCCAAGGGGTGGACTTCTGGAACAGTCCCCGGAGAAACTGCATCATCCTCCCTAATGATCCATTTCCACCCCAGGAAATAAAGGCTCTGTGACTGCCAGTTCTGCCTTGGAGTTTACCTGCCTCTCAAGAGTCTCTGACTGACTGACAGGCTTGTGCTTCCCCCAGGGTGAGTCCTGGGATGGGGATGAGGGAGGGTGGGGGGGCCAAATGGCCATCCTCCCTAGCCCCTGGCTGGACCCCACCCACCCACCCACTAACCCTCACAGCCAACTCTTGCCCTGGAGTTCTGGGAAGTAGGGCATAGAGGAAGTTCCATCTGGGCCAGTAATGCAGGGACCTGTCTCCCACTCAAGCTGGGCAAAGCAGGGGTCTCAGGGCCTGCTGTCCATGCCTTGGTTGCTTGTCTCTTCCCTTCCAGATGGACAAATGGATAGTACTGCTCTTTCTGCAAGTCTCACTGGTGCTCCCCCTGGCTAACAGGGCAGACCCTGCCTTGCGCTTCGTAGCTATGGGGGACTGGGGTGGAGTCCCCAATGCCCCATTCCACACAGCACGGGAAATGGCCAATGCCAAGGAAATTGCCAGGACTGTGCAGATGAAGAGAACAGATTTCATCATGTCTTTAGGGGACAATTTCTACTTCAGTGGAGTGCATGATGCCAGTGACAAGAGGTTCCAGGTGTGTGCTACTGAGTGAGTGGTGGGGGAAGACAGTGGGAAGAGGCCATTTGATATTTGACTCGGGGAGGCAGAGGGAAGCTGACCCCTGTGACACTAGAGCACTCAACTGTCACGGTAGCTGCTTGACCCCGAGGTCATGGGTATCCTTTCTGTCTGCTGCAGGAGACCTTTGAGGATGTATTCTCTGACCCCTCTCTCCGCGATGTGCCCTGGTATGTGCTGGCTGGCAACCATGATCATCTTGGCAATGTTTCAGCACAGATTGCCTACTCCAAGATTTCTAAGCGCTGGTGAGACTGCACCTATGCACACACACACACATACACACATCCCTCACCATGCCATTCCCCAAGCTTTACTCAGATAAAAAAAAGAGGCCCATTGTCTGAGTTGACCCCAGGACTTGTGTGTCTGTGACATGCATCCACTGGTCTTGTCCCCTCCACAGGCACTTCCCCAGCCTTTACTACCGCCTGCGTGCCAAAGTCCCACAGTCCAATGTTTCTGTGGTCATCTTCATGCTGGATACAGTGACTTTGTGTGGCAATTCAGATGACTTCGTCAGCCAGCAGCCAGAGAAGCCTCGCAATCTGGCAATGGCCCGTTCACAGATGTCCTGGTTCAAGAAGCAACTGGCAGAAGCCAAGGAGGACTACGTGCTGGTGGCTGGCCACTATCCTGTCTGGTCTATTGCTGAGCATGGGCCTACCCACTGCCTGGTGAAGCAACTGTCCCCACTGCTGGCCAAGTACAAGGTCACTGCCTACCTAAGCGGCCATGACCATAACCTTCAGGTAAGGGGCATGGGAATGGGATGGGAAGCCAAGTAAGTGGTCCCCAGGCTGACCAATATGCCACATGATGCACTAGGGTCCTCCTGCTCTCTGGGAGTGTCATCTCAAACTCCATGTTCTCCAACCAGGAAAACAGCCTAAGTTTCCTTTAAAGCTACACTGCCCAGTTGCCATTGCTTGCTCAGCAATCTACCTGTAAAGTAATACACTCCTACAATGGTGAAACTGAGGTCCAAATGGGTTATCTTCCTGAGGGACAGACCTAACTCTGGACTCATGGCACAAAGTCCATGGTCAACCTCATTGTGGGACTAAGGGCTCCACTTACTCTTTGTCCTCTGTCCATAGTACCTTCAGGATGAGAACGGTGTGGGCTATGTGCTGAGTGGGGCTGGCAACTTCATGGATCCCTCAAAGAAGCACCATCGCAAGGTCCCCAATGGCTACCTGCGCTTCCATTATGGGGCTGAGGATTCACTGGGTGGCTTCGCTTATGTGGAGATTGACTCCAAAGAGATGAGCGTGACTTACATCGAGGCTTCAGGCAAATCCCTCTTCAAGACCAAGCTGCCAAGGAGGGCCAGGCCCTAAGCACCCATGAAGGCTCCACTGTGGGGGCTGAGGCAGAGGAAACTCCCTTGAGGGGTCCCACTGGAGCCCCCACCTATGGGCCTGTGATACTATGACAGAGCAAGGAGACTCGCAGCCTAGAAATCTTTATGGTGAAAATGCACATGTATGTGAAAGAAGCATGGACATGCGAACCAGCCAGAAAGCCACCTCCCAGGCCTGGGCTCACCCATCCTGTTTCAGCTAGTAGGGGAGTGAGGGGAGAGAGTGGAGCAGGCAGAGAGGGGAAGCTTTCTCCTGAGTCATGCATTCTCTGTCACCGCCAAACTTTCAATAAAAGAATAGCTGCAAAGGCTGAACATGTTCTCTTCTTACCTCAGTAGCTTCACCTGGGCTTGAGTGTTAGGGATGTTCCAACGTGCTTCTCTGCACCTCCATCCTTTCACCCCATCTATTACTAACTAGCCTCATACATGGATGCAATTTTATGTAAAGACCAAATAGAACAAGGCACTACGCAAAGACAACCACTGCCAACCCATGTCTAGGGTCAGCAGATACCATTTTCCCTGCTTCTGCAATCAATACTGCCACAATAGAAATATTCCCCCTTTTAAAAAATGTTTAAATTCCCCCTTTTTTATTCAAAGAACACAGTTTTGTGCATGTTCTCTTTATATAACCACAACCCCTTGGCAGTTGTAGCATGACATTCGTTTTTGTTAATTTCAATATGGAATCAGTGATAACACCAATATATGGTTTGAAAATTTAAATTTATAGAAAGGTGAAACATCTTGTCCCCCCTTTATTTTTCCCTCCCTCTTTCCTAAAAGGAAATAATCTTTGACAAATACCTTAGTTTTCCTTCTAGTATTTATGTAAATGAAAGCAGAGGTGAAGTGTTTCTCCCCTTTCCCACTGATGTATGCCTTAAAAAATACACACACACATATAGATAGATATGTTACTGACACAGTTTGTTTGGCAACTTTTGACAAAGGCACATACTACCACAGTCAAGATATAAGCATTTCCAGTACCCCCCGAGCAATTTCTGCCAGTTTCACCCAAAGATATGCCCATCAGCCCTCAAAGGAATTTCTAGTTCTTTCTGTGGCTACAGAGGCCCCCAGCATGTGCCTGACCCACTGTCTAAAGGGCCACAGATTAAACGGTTCTCTGGACTGCTTCCAAAAGTTTGCCTACCCTCAATGCTACAATAACGGGCACAGAGAATTTATTTCCCACAAGCAGAGGCACATTTTTTGCATGAATGGGCTCATTCCCAAAAGCAGGGCTGCATTTCCCTGGAGCTTCTGTCTTGTCATCAGCTCCCTGCTGGGACCCATCCAGATCTTTTCCATCTTTCCCCCTTATCAGTAAAGCTGCAGTGGACACCCTTGGGCCTAGGCTTTTGTACATCTGTGCAAGTGTGTATGTAGGAAAATTTCCAGAAGCAGAATTATTTCAAGGCCTGTTTCTTAAGATGAATGATAGGAAAAAAACATTCACCCTGAGTTGAAAGTTACCGAGAAATTCAGCTCCCCTCTGGGGAATAACTGAGTAACTCCCACCCACATACTGCCTGAGCCAGCCAGTACAGAGAAAGGCCAAATACTGGTCCCTAGGTGCCTCCTCAGCTGCCACTTCAGCTGCTGTTGAGCACTTGGTGCCAGGGGCACTTTCTATCACTTACTTTTTAAGTGTATATGTTGTTGAATTTATTACTAGTGCACCATGTGTTCCTGCTAGAAGTAAGGAAAGATGTCTTGCTAAATGCCAGCCCTAACTTCCCTCCATCTGATGTTTACCTGACTGGCGTTACTACTGGCCAAGCTTCATCCCCAAAAATACCACTGCTTCTAGTATTGACTTCTTAAGCAAGAGCCAGAATCAACCTCACTTCTCAGCGGATGTTATAGAAACTTGACAGATTACATAAAATGCCCAAGATCATGTTCAGGAAGTGATAGGCCTTCCATCTTAACCACAACATTAAAGGCAGCTCAGAGCCACCCTGCCTCTTCCCACTGATTCAGAGGCTCCAAGCAGGAGTCTGAATCAGAGTCATCCCATTGTACCTATTTGCAGGGCCCAGAGTGTAGAATTAGCTCAATGTCCCAATTCACAATGCCCAGAGAGTGGAAAGGAGAAGTGACACATCGAAGCTGATACAAGGAGAGGCAGGAAGAACTGTCACTCAGACACCTCCTCCACAGACTGAGCACTCTTACCAAGCACAAAGCCAGTGCCTGACAGCAAGGAATAAGGCTGGGTAGCTTCTGTCCAGTTCAGGAAACAATGCCACCACTATTAAGGATATTGGGTTGATCTCCCCAAAGGGGTCACATAGACTATTCTCAATTATTCCCAAAGTGGGCCTCTTGCCAAGTGTTGCCTTAGCAAGGAGAACTAAAGGCCCTGGGAACCCTGGGAGGTCTCTTGCCATTACTTTGAGTTGAGATTACTTTGAGTTGAGATTACTTTGAGTTAAGTGAGAAGTTTATCCTTGCCTGAGTCCTTCACCTTTCTCTAATCAAAGAAGATCGATCCCATCCAGGTCTCTGCCATTTTCCCAATCAGAGAAGCAATCACTGCTCACCTCTTTTATGATTTAGCATGTAGTTTAAGGGTCTCATTCACTTGTAGATTTACCTGTGAAAATGTCATCTCTACATTTACTCTCAAAATAAGGTAATTCCATCCTTGTCTGTGTGAAGTCTCCCCCTTTCTTTGATGACCTAAGGGTCTAAACACAGGGTAAGTATCCACTCGATCCTCCTTGGAATTTACAGCTATCTAAGTTCTATGTATGAATGTTATTATGTCTTAAACTTTTTTGACTTATCTGATGTTAATTTGTTCACCCATCCAACTTCAGGAGAACCCAGATAGAGTGGGTTACTTGCCCCTGTGTCTAATAAAGCCTTTAAATGGCAAGGAGCAAGATAGCAGAGTTCCTCAGAGCCAGTGCCCACTCTTCTCTCTCTTCTTAAGAAACTGTGTCTGATTTATCCATCATAGACACTATCATCTCCAAACTCTACCCCTCACAGCTGGTCTGGGACAAGTACTAGCACTCTCACAAGGTAAGCATGTTGTCACTGGAGAGTCAAACAACAACCCCCCTCACAACAGCCACCAAAGCCAAGAATGATAAGAAGGTGAAAGAGCTGTCTTATCAAACAGTAAAATGTGTTGTTAGCAAAAACAAAAGGTACAACACTAGTTCTAGGAAAATACCCAGAGGGAATCCAGAAACAAGTTCAAGAATATGAGAACATGACAGAGGTTGATGGTGGCAATGCATTATCACAAGAAGAGATATTATTTGCCTTGTGAATTTTACCAAAAGAAGATAAATCCTGAATCCTACTTCAGATCATACACAAATATTCATTCCATAGGGATAACATATTTCAGTGTAGAGATTTAGTTGCAGGCTTTGAAGATTTATTTACCTCTCCTTCCAGCCCAAAGTTTCTCCTGCAGACATGCTCTGCCAGATCCTTGGTCCAAGCAAGACAGAAAGAATAAACCAGACCCTAGAACAAACCGGGTCCCTACTGAGTGAATGTAGATGACAGAAAACTGAAGGAAGACAGTTCAGACTCCTAAATGAAATATTTCAATATAAAACTATATAAGGGCCTTCCCTTAACTATTTGCGCCTCCTAGTGGCACAACGGGTTAAAGTGCAGTACTATGAAGCTATCCACAGCCACTGCAGCACCAGCTGGATCCCCCAGCCAGGGAGGTGATCCACACGGTGTAGCTGACCTCTTGACCAGCCAACTGCTCCCCTCAGCAGTGTATTTCAGTATATCTGCCTATTCTGCTCCCCACTCTGTCTCTGGTGAATCCTCTCAACACCTGCACCTCTGGCCTGTACCCCAGCTCTTATATACATAAATAGATAAATCTTTTTTTTTTTTAAAGCTGTTTAAGATGAAGGTCTTTCAGAAGCCAATCATGCAATTTTCCCCTTAACCAGGAAATAGTCCCCTCTGAATGCATGAAGTCATACTGGTGTATTGTGCTGTGGTTTCACTGACTAATAAATATCTAAAACTTGAAAAAGATGAAAATGAAAAGGTATGTAACTATTTAAATGAGATGGTTCATAGTAGCTTTGCTCATAATTGCCCCAAACTGGAAACAACCCAAATGTGCATGATTAGATACAAGGATAAGCAAATTGTGGTAATCCATAAAATAGAACTCAGTACAACAAACTTCTGATAAGACACAAGAGTGGGGGCCTTCCCTGGTGGCACAACGGGTTAAGGCACAACACTGTGAAGCTACAGCAACCACTGAAACACCCATTCAATCCCTGGCCAGGGAGGTGACCCACAGACCTCCCTGACCTGCCCACTGCTCCCCTCAGCAGTATACTTCATCAATCTGCCTACTCTGCTCCCTACTGTCTCTGGTGAATGAGTCTCTCACCCTCCCTCACCTCTGGTCTGTACCCCAGTTCTTGTATGCGTAAATATTTTTTTTAACTCAAAGAATCTACATTAACTGTATGATTCTGTTTATATAACTGTGAGAAATATGAAGCAATAGGACTAATAATAATGAGTCAGGACAAAGAACTGGCTACAAAGAGGCATGAGTAGACTTCTTAGAATCATGAAGACATTCACTATTTAGATGTGGTTATGGTTTGTTTCACTAGTGTACACATGTCAAAATATGAAATTTCAGTTTAAAATGTGCCATTTACTATATCTCCATCATGTCTACTAAAGCTGCAAAGGAAGGAAGAAGAAAAAGGTGGGAAAGAAGGAGGGAGGGAAGAAAGAACTAACCTGGCAAACTATGGCTGTCACACTATGAAGGGGTGTATATTAATTGTTAATGGAAATAGCAAGTTGCAAGGTACTGTGTATAGTAGGACCACATCCTAGATCTGCAAAACTATCTCTGGGTAAAATTCTTCCAGAGATCTTCTGAGGGTTACATTGCCTCCTAGGGGACACCTTGAAAACAGGTCTATCTGAAATAAATTTCATTCCTTACAAATTAATTTCCTGAACATGCAAATGAAACATTGCTTATCTCTGGACACCAGTGACCAGCCACTTGCCAAAGCCTTTCCTCATTTTCTTTACTCATCTTACTTAATCAACCAGCCATATGTAACACAGTTGACTGACTACTCTCCCCATCTTAAAATCTCATCTGGGGACCTCCAGGTGGGGGATACCCATTTCTTTCTCCTCTTAGCACACTGCCTGCCCAGTCTCTTGTTGGCTTCTCTTCCTCCTTGTAATTCCTAAAGTTGGGGATCCCTAGGTCGTGTTCTTATTCCTCTTACTTTGCTATAATTTGCCTCTCCCCTCCCCCCCCCACACCTGGAGACCTCCCCCAAGGCTTCAAATAACCTCCACATGCTGATGACTCTCAAAATCCGCATCCAGCAGTTTCTCCCCAACGCATGGCTCCTGTTTCCAACGGCCTCCCTGATTATCTCAGCCAAAAGACAATTCTTGACTTCTCCCCTGAGCTTTCTTCATTCGATTAAGAGGAGCCAGAGACTCTAGACAGTAGGCTTCATCCTTTAAATCCTCTCTCCTTCACTCCATCCTAGGCTCAGTAAATGCTATTTCTGTCTGTTTAACTCCATCCAAGGGTTCAACCTGAACAGGAGCTTCCCAGAGAAGCCTTCCCTAACCTCTCAGACAAGTTTGGCAAGCCTGCCTCCCCTCCCTCCCCCACACTCTTCCTGTACTAAAAAAGGTAGTAAGTAATCCTCTAATCACTAATTTGTGGCAATCGTGGAACTTCATTCCCCTGCCCCTCCAACTCAAAAAAAAAACATGACTTAGTTTCTTATCTAGACTTCTAGATGTATAAACTTCTGCCAACACTACCTTTAGACCATCATCATCTTTCACCTAACGACTGCTGCAGCCTTTAAACTGTGGTCTCCACATCTATTCTGCACCCAGCACATATAGTGGGTTTTTTAAAACACAAACCAAACATCACTTCATGGCTAAAATTCCATTTTAAACGTCCTTACCATGATCCACAAAACCCAACGTGACCTGGCTCAAGCTAACTTACCTATTACAATCTTGAAGCTCAAAACTGGACCAGTTAGATAGTAAGGCAGCCGGGAGCTAGTTAGAAATAGACTTCCAGGCCCCACTCTCGACTAATGATTCAAAACCTGAATTTTATTAAGATTTATAGGCTCTTGCTAAAGTTTGCGAAGAGCTACTAGTACAAGCTTCCCCCTTGGAGAAGTGAGACCTCGGGGAACTGCAGGAACTTGGGGTTTGGAGTGGGACAGAATACATGAGACCGTGCCAGGGAGATGTAGCGGCGGCCAGAGAGCAAGGAGACCGGTTCAGTCTGGGCGGCCACCCAACTCTCCAGAAAGGCAAGAAGAGCCACCCCGGGAACCAGCCCACAAGCAGCCGCCGACCACGCGGTAACAAACCCGTTCAACCCCGCCCACTTTCAGGCAACACACACAGTCCCGTAGGCGCACGCTTGCTAAAACGCTAAAGGAGGCGGGTCCTGATCACTAGGAAGTTCCGTCCGAAGAGGGCGGGATGGAGAGGGACTTCCGCTTCCTGCGCGAGCCGGAAATCACTGTCTCCTTGGTGAAAGAGGCTGTCGCAACGAGGAAAGAAGAGCTCAGGTGACGTTTCACGCGGGCGGGTGTTGGGGTCGGCCGGTACTGGTGTCCTTCTAATTGGGGGCGTCCTGAAAGAGAGGTCCAGGAGTTTCCGGAATAGGATAACGGGAATGTTGACTTACCCAGGATCCCAACCGGCGCGCGCCTGCTCGGAAGCCTGGCTCCTACCGCAGAGCCTCGCGAGGGGCGACGCGAAGAGGACCTCCCTGCGGTGAGGGACCGTTTCCTGTTGAGTCGCGGCAGTCAGGTGCTGACCCCTTCTGCCGCCCCCTGGTGCACTTAGCACTGGACAGGCCGAGGTCCTAGGAGTCTTTATGCACACCAGACCCTTTTTCTGGGGTGAAGTTGGGGGTTCTATAGTCAGTGGGTAAAAAAAGAGGCCCATTTTACCCATCCGTAGCTTCCTACTTAGGGTTTATTTATTCAACACTTAGTTATTGAGAGTAATGTGTATTGGCCACTATCCTGAACATTCATCAGTGGGCATGTCATTCCCCATCCCTCCTGCAGAACTGACATTCTAGTGGAGTTCTGACGTTAGATTTAGAAATCTGCATTTTCGAGCACTCGCTGATTTTGTTGCAGGTGGTACACGGAGCCAAGCTTTGAAAAAACAGAACAAAACACTGCCCTGAAAAGTGAGTACAAGCTCCAAAAAAGGTCGCAGGGTGCTGCATCTTTCCTCTTCTGTTGCATCTATACTATACCTACCTACCTCACTGAGCTTCAGCAGATACCTGTCGGCTAGGGGGGTGGGGGGTGTTTAAGGAGGGGAGGAAACTTTGTGGGAAAAAACTTCTGTCACAGAACCTTTGCAGTTGTCATTTCCAATACCAGAACTACTCTATGTAGTTGTCTTCTCTCATTATTCAGGCCTAAGCCTAAAGATTCTTACCTAGAAAGAGTCCTCCCTCCACCCTTTTCAGTCACTCATCTCTGTCCTGCTAACCTCACAACTTGCTAGTATTTGAAATTATTTCATTTACTAGCTTGTTAAGGGTGTGTCTCCCCTGGAATATATGTTCTGCAAGAGCAGATACCTTGTCTACCCTGATTGCACTTTGCTGTGGTTTAGCCCAGGGTCCTAGCAGAGATTCACTCATTCCTTAAGCACTATTTGTTGACCATCTCTATCTACTTTTACACTCTGGGGTACAAAGAAAAGACAAAAATGGAATTAAATTTGGATGGTGGTGACTGGGGTTGGAGATGAAGGGAGATGAGGAGGCTATTGTAATAATTCAGGATAGAGATGACCAGAACTTGGGACTCAGACCATGATGTAAGTTAGAGGCCAGAAGTGCATGTTTTTAGAGACAAGAGAAGGAAGATCAAGATCAGATAAGGGGGAAGAGAAAGAGTAATCAAAAATGACTCACAGGATTTGAGGAAGATGGGTTTGCTGTCTGCTAGAAACCATGGGAAAGCAGGTTGACGTGTCAGGACCTTGGTTTTGGATAAGTTGCATTTAAACTTTTGTTGGCATCAAAGTGGAAGTGTGACCAAGACAGGTAGAAGGGTGAGTCTGCAGTTGAAGGAGGAGGCAATTGAAACCCTGAGACATGACAGGATCTCCAAGGAGATAAGTGTAGTTGAGAGGGAGGGGCACCAAAAATGAACAGCTCATGTATAATATAATTAGAGAAGGGAAGAGCAACCACAGACTTGAAAGAAGCAACCAGTCTAGCTTGGGCAGAGATACAGATCCTTGAGAACCCATGGGAAGGACTGGAGGAGGGAACCCAGGTGTCCAGCATCCTGAGGAGTACGACTACCCAATGGTGGGCAGCAGAGGGACTGGGAGGCATGGAGAAAGAATGGGAAGGGACAGAGACAGTAAATGCTGCCAGTTCTACTTAAAAAGGCTGCAGAGGATGAAGAGTTGGTGGATGTTTTTTGTTTTTGTTTTTGTTTTTTTATTTTTATCTTTTTAATTATTATAAAAGTTTATTTTTACATCATTTTGCACATTTTTTTTTTCCATCTCGATTGTAATCCCCGCGGGTTTTGGTGGATGTTTTTAATGATGTGAAAGACAGTAACAAATGTTTTTTCATATCCATTAGAGAGAGAAAATATGTCGGGATCCAAGTTACAAGGGACTTTTGTGGAGAGTGTGGATATTCTTCCATAGCAAAGGAGGGAAGGCCACATATTTAGTCCTGGGTACTTGTGGCTTTTCTCTACCAGTGACTTTTGTTTGCTCAGTGATTCAGAAGCAGTCATTTAAGAATGGGGCTGTGTAGAAAGGGTTCAGTGTTATGAATGGAATCTGACCTTTATTCCAAAGCTGCAACCTCCCCTATCGAGGAGACATTATGCTAAAGCCAGCAGTAGAGTGCGTAGCCGAGGGTAGCCAGAGAGCAGCACCTTAAGAGATTCACAGATCATGATTTCAGAACCCAGAGCACCTGGCATGGAAGATGGCTCATTGGGAGCTCCTGTATGGAAGACATCTGTCTCTGGTTGTCAGCAGCCAACCCCATCATTTTCTCCAGCACCCTATTCTTCATATGAACCATTCAAAGAATGGTTCCACCTTTTCCCCCTGCCAACCAATCCTGTTCCCCGCCACAACCTTGGGAATCATCCTGGCCTCTTCCTTTGCTCATCATGCTCAATCTCTCCCACCTACCACTGTCTCTTCATCCCAAATAATTTGTGAGTTCAGATGAAGTCTGATTTTTGATCCCTTAAAATCTGCTAATGACTTTTGTTTGCTCAGTGAATCAGAAACAGTCTGTTAAGAATTTGATCCCTCAATCTCTTAAATTAAAACACAAAGCAGGGGCCCTCCCTGGTGGCACAGAAGGTTAAAGCATAGCACTATGAAGCTATCCCCAGCTATTGCAGCAGGAGCTCAATCCTGGCCAGGGGGGTGACTCACATGGCGCGACCTACCCACTGCTCACCTCAGCAGTGTATTTCAGTCAGTCTGCCTATTCTGCTCCCCACTCTGTCTCTGATGAATCCTCTCACATCCCCCACTTCTGTCCTTTATCCAGTTCTTCTGCACATAAATAAATAAATCTTTTTAAAAACACATACACAAAGCAGTTTTTCATCCAGGATTCATCCAAACATGTGAAGCCCTCCTGCCTGCCAGTGTTCTCTTTAGTCTGCCCTTCTCTCCCTCCTGCCAGGTCCTCAGATTGTGACCCTGGCTTCAAACTCCTTCCCTTGAGCTTTTGCATGTGCTGTTTTTCTACTTGAAATATTTGCCATGCTTCTCGGCACCAGCACCCTATCTGCAAAGAGGCAGCCCAGAGACTGGAAACTCTAGCCCCTAAGTGTCATTCTTCCACATGCACTTGCTCTCCCTGGTTCTGCAATACTGGCAAAATCTGTTGTCATCCTCACCAGGAATAGTAGCTTCTTGTGGAAGTATCAGAGATGACCCAGGCTCTGTGCTTAGTATTTACTGTTTCTTAACCAATAGTCTTATCTTTGTTTTATAGGTAAGGAAACTGAGGCAAGAGAGATTTGGTAACCTGCCTAGGGCCACACAGTAAGTGGTGAAGCCAGGGTTGAACCCAGGCCACCTGATCAGGAATCTACTCCCCCCCTCCCCACTCTAACCTCCAGCACCCTGTGAAAGCTCACCCTTCTCCATGGTCTGACAGGGCTTTCTTCCTGGGCTGTTTCCTAGAATGTTGAACAGGAGTACTGTGTGAGTCCCACAAGTCACCGAATTCTGTCCCCCACCCCAGGCTTATCCTCCTACAGATATGGGACGCAGAAAATCAAAACGGAAGCCACCTCCCAAGAAAAAGATGACGGGTACCCTGGAGACCCAGTTCACCTGCCCCTTCTGCAACCATGAGAAGTCTTGTGATGTAAAAATGTGAGTGGGGGTGGGAAGCCAGGGATCCCGCCTCCCGGGGCCTTCCCTCTCTTCCCTGTCTCAGGATGCTCCCTTATCTCCACCTTCCCTCATTCTACCCCAGGCCTTCCCAGTCAGGGGGAACATCACCCACGGGTCTCCCCATTCACCTTATCCCTCCACATCCCTCACATTCCAGGGATCGTGCCCGAAACACCGGAGTCATCTCTTGTACTGTGTGCCTAGAGGAATTCCAGACACCCATCACTTGTATCCTTGGGAAGCTGGGCTATTTTCAGGGGATGTGGGTATGGTAGTCAGGGTTCACCTGCCTAGGCTGGACTGCTCAAGGGCACCTGGCCAGGGGCACCCTGCACTAAGTGTCCTGGGGCAGCCTGTGGCCACCCAGAGGAGGGTACCACTGGTGGTAGGACGCAGTGTAGGGGCATGACTGGACTCTGACATGTGCAGACAAGGGAAGGGATCCCTAATACTATCAGTCACCCTTGACTTGAGCCACTCAGATCTGTCAGAACCAGTGGATGTATACAGTGATTGGATAGATGCCTGCGAGGCAGCCAATCAGTAACAACAAAGAGGACCCTCCCACACTTTGCAGCCCCACCTAACAGCACCCACCCAATGAGTACCAACCCAGAGACATTCCAAGGTTCAGGGTGTGGGGTTAGGACTGTCTAGCAGCCTTGTGGGTGTGAGTATTTAGTGGGTGTGAATGTGTATGGCTGCAAGTATGGCCTTGGAGCTTTGCTTGTGGGCAAGGGGTAGAGCTGAAGGGTTATTGGGCCCCAGGGGCCTAACCCGCCTCCTTTGCTCTAAAACCCTTTTACTTGCTCCTTCCTCCAGCCCCTGGCTCTTGGGTCCTTGTCCTGATATCCTGACAAGAATATGTCCAGCAGACTGTCCCACCTCCCCAGTAGCTGGCCCATTTGAACAGAGTACCCACCTTCCTTTCCATATTTCCAAAGCCTGTGGCCTAGGGTTCAAAGCCACAGTTGCACAATTTCCCTGACAGGGTAGCTCTTCTCATTTTAGTTGCTTTTGTAGAGGAGGGAGGGACTGGATCAGGAACAGCTGTGTGTCACAAGCCCTTAAATAAAGTATCAAGGGAACTCCTGAATGGCTATGGTTTCCTTGGCTCTGGGTCAGCCCCAGTGGATTACTGAGGGCTGAAGGGAAGGCTGAGGTGTCAGGGGCAATCTGATGAGCCATCAGAAGTAGGGTTCAGTCAGTTTGAACTGTCTTGCTCATTCAGCAAACATTTAATCACACAGGTATTACTGGATATAAGAAATCCATAGCCTTTACAGCAGTCGCAACAAACAAGTTGACAGAATTGGGGTGTGGTCAGGGAAGGCTTGAGGGGGGTGACTTGAAGAAGATGCCATTGCAGATGCTGTTGTCAGAATTGCCTGCCACCTCCCCAGTAGCTGGCCTATTTGAATAGAGTACCCACCTTCCTTTCCATATTTCCAAAGCCTATTGGGCAGGTGCCCAGTTTTTGAAGATAAGGAAATTGACCAGAGTGAGCCACTGATCCAGGGGCCCACTGCTAATGGCAACATAACTGGGCATGGAGCCCAGAAGTCTGGCTCTGCAACCTGAAATCTTTCTTCTTTGTGAAGACTGGAGCCAGGTCATCCTGGGATATACTGGGATAAGAGAGGCATTGTAAAAGAGCAAGGGACCTTTGTCTAGGGCTTGAGTCTGATTTAGCTACGTGCTAAAGAAACATTTCTTTGTCCCTGGTTCCTGCCTCAGAACTCCTAAAACTTGGAATTTCCTAATAAGTCTTTTGCTATTCATAAGGAACCCCTTTTGAGCACAGCTGCGTTTATGCTATCATGGGGCACTAGATAGCCTCTAGGTAGGGCCCGTTGCTAGAAAGGTTATACACATATCACTTTTGAGAAGGGGGGAGAGGCTATGATTAAACTCTATAGAAATTTTGCTTCATGCATCTCTTCCATCAGGCTGTCCTAAATTAACATCCTTTTATAACAAAGGATGATCTAGTAAGTAAATACTTCTCTGAGTTCTGTGAACTGTTCTAGTAAGTTAGTCAAACCTGAGGAGGGGGTCCTGGGAAATTAATGTATAGCTGATTGTTTAGAAGCACAAATGATAATTTGGACTTGTTGACTAAAGGTGGGGAGCAGGCAGTCTTGTAGGATCGAGTCCTTCCCCTTTGGAATCTGACACTACCACCAGGCAGATAGTGTCAGAACTAAACTAATTGCTTGGATGTGGTGAAAGAATACATCTGAACATGACTGATGGGTATGTCCCTGAGGAGGTCTCATGGTTGATGAGCATAGAGCCTGATGTAGTTCAAGTGACTTGGAACCACCCAGTGTAGTGAGGGATGCGAACAACCAAGGAAAATGGGAAACTCACTGGAAGCCCTAGTTACCAGGTCCAGCTGCCTGAGCCCACCCCCCACCTAACCCCCCAGCCCATTCTGACCTGACATATTACCCTCCCAGGGGCTTCTGTCCCATCCACCAAGGACCCAAGTAAGGTCCTCAGTCACGGCAGGAGCCAGCAGACTTGGATAGAGCCTTAGACAGTACCTAGTGTGGGGGGTGCCCTTTAGGGTCCACTGGAGAGAGGACTTGTGCCAGGTTCCGCCCAACCTAGTCTCACAGGACAAGTTCAAATATGGTGCTGTCTTCCCAGGCAGGCAGGGCCCTGGGCCAGGCGTGGAGCCTCAGCATAGCTTCCCCACTCTGGCCCTAGGGGAGCAAGACTCAGGGTAGCCTAGCCAAGAGCGCCTGGAATCTGGTTTACAAGGCTCAAGGCTGTGTCATAAGCAGGTCCTCCGGGATATGTGTCTGCAGTTGCCTGTGTTCCTGCCTTATCAGCTGCCCTGGGGAAGCAGGGAGAAGACTGTTGTGCCCCCGTATTGCTGCATCCTCACCATGAAACCTTGACAGTGGCAGGTGACTGGGGCCTACATCACAGTGGGAACAGACTCACCTCTGAAATGGGGCAGGGGAAGTTGGAGCCCTGTCCACAGACTGGCAGGCCAGACCCAGGACTCAGCCCTGAGAAGAGGATGTTAAGAACATGGTACGTGGGGTAACCATGCCCCAAGGTTAATATTCTACCACGCTGCCTATCAGTAAGGGACCATTGCCCTGGACCCCTAAAGTACCCATCCTCCCCTACTTCCCTGTCCCTTTCCACCTTTCCACATCTACTCCAGGCCTAAAGTGTTTGTCCCACCCACAGGGACCTCAGGGCCAGTTTATCTATTCTCATTGGTCAGTGCCAAATATCATTTCCCATGGGGAGGCTTTATTCCATTTACACTTCCCTATGACCCCAGGGAAACAGGTCTTGGGAAGGGAAATGACTTGCCCAGGGTCACCCAGCTAGGGAGCTGCAGAACTGATTCACAGCCCACCTAGCCCATCTCAGCCCTTAGGCTCTTCACTGTTTCCCATAGATGCTCAAGGAAGGTACTTGGGTGCTGAGAGTGTTGACCTCAAAAGCAATCAACTAATCACAGGGTTTATTCAGAAACAAAGTAGTGGAAGAAACAGGCAAGAGTGCATTCGTGGTGACAGACACATGTACTTCTGGCTTCTCTCACTGGACCCCTAACATGGCCTTGCATACCACCCCCATCATTTCTGCACCAAAAAAAAAAAAAATTAAGCAAGGTATTATGTGTTCTGTAGTCTTCTGATTTACATGTACATGGAAGGCTCTGTCCTGCCCTGCCTCCTTTAAATAAGATGCTTAATACTGATAGTGGTCATGTGTGAGGGAGTGCTGCTTTATGCATCATGGGTAGGGATGTGTACTGCACATATATGGATGTGTGCAAGGGAAGTCTGTGCCGAAGTCTGCAACAAGCATGTACACGCATGGTGTGTGTGTATGAGGATCTGTGACACATGCCTGGAGCTCCGTGTGCATGTCTTAGGTTTTCTGTGAGTGTGTGTATGCAAATGTATATGGGAGGTGGAGAGCACCTAGCAAGGCTGTGTATGTGCCATAGTCCCACAGGTGCTGGGACAGAGCAGCTCTGAGTCCTCAGAGATTTTATAGCCTTTTATTGTGCTCCAGTGAAATAGAAAAAGTGCTCTAGTCACAAACGCCACTGTCACATCCACTTACACCAGTCACTGCAAACCAAACTGCGTGTGTCCGCTGGGTCTCTGGGCATGCAGTTTGCTCCCACTGTGGGAATGGGGTGGGGGCAGGTAGAGCCTAGGCTCTGGGGATTTTGCTTGGGGGGCTTCTTGTCCTGGGGGACTCATCTGTGAGGGAGTTGGGGGGACAGCCAAAGTAGCTTTGTTCAATGTGACCTTTGGGTGCTATTGGGAACACCTGGCTAGATATTGGACCCTGCAATGCTACAGAGAGGTGGGTCCTTTTCCCCCCACAGGAGCCCCAAACTACTCCCCACAAACGCTAACCCTGCAGGTAGGTGCCAGGGGGCTGGAGGACGCCATGCAGCAGGAAGGGTTGGCAGGCCAAGCTAGGCCCTGCCAAGAGCAGCAGCCAGCCCCCTGGGGAAAGGCAGGGAGGCCCAGGGACCTAGGCAGAGTTGTAGTAGTTGTGTGGGTGATGGTTGTGGGTGGGCTCCCCTAGTTCTGGGTACTCGGGTGTCAGGCAGTATTTAGGATCATACACCTGGCGGGGCAGCCCATACACTGTCATGCCCCGCTGTGATGCTCCTTTGTTACTGCCCATCTGCAGGCTGACATTGAGAGTATCACAGTGCTCCATTCCCAACCCTGGCTCGAAGATCTGCCGCTTGGTCCCAGGTGCAGTCATGCCAGCCTGTGGAGAACACTGTAGTCAATCCATGGACATCGAGGGGCACTAGCCCCACAGCCCAACCCCGTGTACCCACACACACCTGACTTGCTCCCTTGTTGGTGCCCATTTGCAGGCTGATGGTAGCTTGATCCAGGGGCTGGTCTGTGCCCAGCTTGGGGTCATAGAGGTGGCGCCGGGTGCCGTAGGCTGTCATGCCCTGCTGGCTGGCAAACTTATTGGTGCCCATCTATGGAGCCAAAAGGAGAATCACCCCAAAGGTTACAGAGCCTTACCATGGGCCATGATACGTATTGATGTTGGGGACACTTAGAGCTCATTCTCAGCAGGCAGTCGGGCTACAGACTGGAAATGGGCCCAGAGAAATAAGTAGTTCAAGAGCAGTGTGACCTGACTTCCAGAGTTCAAATCCCAGTCGGAACACTCATCACCTGGACAGTCCAACAAATAAGCTAGCTTCTCCAGGCCTCAGTTTTCATATCTGTACCAACATTATGACAGTAACAGTACCAACCCCCAGCACTGTTGAAGAAGTGAGTTAGTGTTTGGAAAATGCTAAGCATGATGTTCAGCATACACTTCAGTTAAGGCCCCAGAGCCTGTCACCACAATAGCCTTCAGGATCCAGAACCTTCCAGCCTCCCACCTAGGTGAAGAGCAGGGGGCAGTACCTGTAGCCCGATGATGTTCCGTCCTTCCCTTAGCTTCTCTGGCTCAAATTTTCTCTCCTGCTTCTCTGCGTACTTTACCCCCACATTCACCTTGTTCCCTTTTGTCTTGGCCTGGGAAGGGCAAGACGGGCAGGGACTGATGAGGGAGCCTCAGGCTGGAGCTGCACTGTCCTCTCTGAGGTACTTTGCTTCTCTTGCTCTGCCACTCGTACCCATGCTCCCTTCACATGCCACCCAGTCTCTAGGCCCCATCCATGCCTACCCTTCCCAAACTCACCATGCTGGCGAGAGCCAGGAGGGTAGACTGAACCTGGGTGTGGTTGGTGTTCTCAAACAAGTCATTGGCCTCAAAGATATCATGGGGTTTCACCCCATACTTGGTGATCGCCTTGATGAAGTTGCCGATGTTCTCCAACTGGAGGGGGAGTGGTAGAGGGGAGTAGGGAAGAAGTCTGAGGGACCGTGGGCCAGGAGTTGAAAGGGTCAAAGGAATCTGGACTCACCTGGTGCCAATTTTGGGTTGACTCATTGACTTTCTTCACAGATCCTGGCTGAAGCTTATTGATAAACCTACAAAGAGACAGGGAGTGTGAAAGGTGATCCCAGTACCCCACCCATTCCCAACCTAGCAGAGCAGAGTGTCAGGATGCTAGTGGTGGGCCATACCCTTTTACTGTTTCCCTCTGCAGTCAGCTCTCAGCCACAGCCACACCACACTGCCCACACAGAGCTCAAAGACTGAGAGGCTAACCCCCTCGGGAGCTAGACTGAATGCCAGGTCAGAAAGTCTCTAAGTGTGTCCAAGTCTCCTGGTGACCACCTCACTGGCACAGAAAGCATTCACAGAACATTCTATAGAATGCTATAGTCACCTTTTCTCTCTCAGATCTCTAACAAAATAGCCTACAGCTTGGACCTCTTTTTTTTTTTTAAAGATTTATTTATTCATACAGAACTGGGGTACAAGTCAGAGGTGCAGGGCTGGCGAGAAGCTTCACCAGAGAGAGAATGGGGAGCAGAACAGGCAGATGGATGAAGTACACTACTGAAGGGGGCAGTGGGCAGGTCAGGAGAGGTCAACCGCGCCATGTGGTCACCTCCGGGCAGAGGATCAAACTTGCACTGAAGCTGTTGCAGCCAGCTTGCAGTGCTGCGTCCTAACCTGTTGCACCACCAGGGAGGGCCTGGACCTCTATTTTTGCCTCTGGCCACGCTCACTCCCTTAAGTCTCTGGTCACTTTAGTAACCCTCTTAAGTCACTTGATTGTCACTGATATGCCAGTGACTCCCCAGTGCCTTCCTGCTGGCAGGGCTCTTAACCATCCAGTCCTGCTCCCTATATGGGTGCTCAAATCAAGTGTGCCTTCCCATGGACTTTTGACTATCCATCTTCCCCAACAAAACTCCCTCTAGCCTCTCTGTCCTAGTAAATTCATCCTTCTGTGTGCCTAGAAAAGCCCCCAACCTACCAGTGACTCCTCTCCTTTCTGTTGCCACATCCAATCCCTCAGCAAGTCCTCTGGCTTTGCCTTCCGAGGACATCTGGAAGCCTGAGACTCCTTTCCATCTGCTTCTAGTTCTCAACTCTCAGCTTTCTCAGGCACTCGCAGTGGTCTCCCCATGATTTCCCAGCTTCCACCTCGTCTCTCACAGACCCTTCTTTATCTCACAGCTAGAAAGGCCTTTTCAAAAACAATCCAAGTTCAAAACTTTACACCATTTCCCACTACCTTCCGAATAAAAACTTAAATCACTACAGGTTCTACCTTATCTCCAGGTTCTACCTTATCTCCAGCTAACTTCCGTATCCCTTCTACTCACTAGTAACCATGCTATCTTGTTTGTTCCTTGAGCAAACCAGGTGCACTCCAACTTGAAGGCTTTTGTACTGGCTATACCACTTCCTATACCAATCTCCCTGCTGCCCCACTTATTCCAAGGTCCTGCAAAAACAACATCTTCAGAAAGCATTCACAGAATATTCTGTAGGAGCAACAACCCTCAACCCCCTCTTCCTTATCCTCTAGACTCCTCTCTGGCATTTCTCTCCATTGGCAAGTATGTGATGATTTCATCAAATATTGGATTTAGGCCCTCCCTGGTGGTGCAGTGGGTTAAAGCATAATGCTATAAAGCTCTCCGCATCCACTGCAGTCAGGGATGGTGACCCACATGGCATAACAGACCTCTCCTGACCTGCCCGCTGCTCTCCTCAGCAGTGTACGTCAGTCAGTCTGCCTGTTCTGCTCCCCACTCTGTCTCTGGTGAATCCTCTCACCCCTGTACCTCTGGCCTATACCCCATTTCTTGTATGCATATATCATTTTTTTAGTGTTGGATTCATCTCCCTCACTAAATTTAAGCCTGTTTTGTTCACTGTCACAGGACCTAGACCAGTCTAGGTACACAGCAGTCACCACATAAAATGTATAAATGTGAACTAAGCTAGAACACCAGGAAGTTTCCCCATCCCTTGTTCTTAGAGGATATGGTAGGGCATGATGCCTCCTGCTCTCTCCCTCTCCAGGACCTAGGTCTGGGATAAGGCTGCACCTTTGGAAATCTCCCCAATGGCACACACGTGTCCTCATGGTCACCCTACCCTGGGCCAAACTCAAATGAACAGAACGCTGGTGAGCTCAGAGTCCCACCCAGCATAGAGTGGCAGTGGAATGTGAATTCAGGACTTGGAATCTGTGAGGGTCTGCATCTGTCTGTGACTGGTTTCTGAGAGGAGTAGAAAATCAGAACCTACTAAAATAACTGGCACATCCCTCACATCACCAAGCCAGTGGTGAACTGCCATTGTTGCCTGTTGCCTTTTAGTTGTGACTCTCTTTTTGGTATTCTGGAGGACATAAAGGGGTCTGCCTGGTATGTTTAGTGGGTAGGACAACTAGATTCTGAAAGTTTCCATTAGAGCAGCTTGGACTTTGGATGATGTGTTTTACTTAAATGAGCCTTTCAAACAGACATGGGATTATTTGCTACCTCTGATGACTTTTTCAAGGTCTCAGCCATAAAGCACCCAACACAGTTCCAAATTCACAGTCATTTCAGGAGCACTGGGGGGGGGGGGGGGGTAGCACAAAGCCAAGTATGCAGCCACTCACTCGCAAAGAATGATGCCGTCTTTGAGACCATCCATGAAGTTGTTGCCAATGCTGCGTCCTGTGACCCCCTCAATCCATTCTCGAAGCTCCTGCTCCCGATGGTGGTCATACTTCTGGGCCAGCTGAGGGAGGGGAGAGAGAAGTGGGGAGTGTGCAGCAAGACACAGACTTGACTCACTGTGCCAAATCCGAGACTCCCTGGGCCTGATCTCCTTCCTAGTCTCTTCCCAACTAAGGCAATTCTATCCTAACATCCTTAGGGAGTGGGGGGAGGAGAGACTAAGGGCCAAGACTGAGGTGGCACCTGCCCATGGGGCCCATTCCAAGCATTCTGAGGTTTGGCATCAGAGAATGCAGACAAAGGGGTGCAGAGCAAGATACTCCATGCTACAGGAGGGAGGAGCGGGGGCAGTGCCTAGCCTCCTGCTTACCCCTCCAGGCCAAACTTGGGGTTTAGCTTCCCTTGGCCCTGCCCCTTTCCACATACCCCACCCCCCACTACTAGAAAACAGACTCAGGCAAAAGGAGGTATCCCTGAATACTGCCTTGCTGGAGACTGCTCTGTCTTTGGTCTATCTCACTGTCTCTCCCAGTCCTGCTTTCTGAATCGCTGTCTCTGGGTGATGGTGGTGGGGGGGAGGCCATATCTTATTCCTTGCCCCATACAAGGCGTGTTTCCCTCTCTCCCCATCCCCTGTGCCTTCTGTCAGCACTCCCCTAGCTCTTTCCTTGGCTCTGACTTCCGCCCTCATCTCTCAAGATCAGACTGGGGGTGGGGCTCCTTGCTGGTCCATCTCTGTCTCAGTCTTTCTCCTCTCAGACCCCAGGTTCCTTGCTTCTAGTGGGGGTGGGACAGTGTCCTGTGTCTCCCTTGCCATTCAGCGCTAACCCCTAGCTCACTTCTTCTCATCCATCTCTCTCTGTCTTAGGCTTCCAGAATCTCACTGTAACCCTCTGGCTCTTTCCCCTCTCCACTTCCTCCGCCTCCCCCCCCCCCACTCCCCTTTCTCCAGAACCCTCCACTGAGCCCAGACAAGCTCCCAGCCCCTAGGGGATGAGGCCCTTCTCCTGGAGGGGAGGGGGGAGGGGAAAGAGGAGAAAGGGAGCAACCCCCTCACCTGGCCCCAGTCCTGCTGCCCCTCCACCACCACCACCACTAGCCCAGCTTTATAAAGCAAACCAACCCTTATATAGCAGGGCACCGGCAGGCCTGACTCCCTGAGGCCGCCTTATATGGCTAGGCAGCTTGATCTGCTCTGGGGCTGGCGCTGGGGGAGGGGGAGAGGGGGGCGGTGCTTGGCTGTTTCAGGCCAGAGTGCCTGCTCCCCACCTGCCTCCACCAACCCAGAGGATACCCCCCAACCCTGGTTCCTGTCCCATCCCCCCACTTCCTTACTGGGGAAAAACTACCTGTACCTCAGTGTTCCTCTCTGTCAAATGGGACTAGGACGCCTCCCCTGACCTGCTCATGGGACTAATTCATGGGTTTGGAGATATAAAATTAGTTCCCTGGAGAAACTGTCCCCATGGTGTAGGGGCTGAGTCCAGGAACTCAGCTTAGCACGCCTGTTATATAAGCCCATTATATAGGAAGCCTCTCTCAGAACTTGACCATCATAGCATGAAGGTGGTGTATGCATATCTTCCCAGCTCCAAAATAAGGTGATTCTTTCCCATTTCTAATGCCCACTTTCTGCCCTCCCCAGCTATTTCCCTCTTTCACAATATCCCATTTTCTCTGTCTCGCCTCCCAGTAACCCCAATTTTCACACATTCCTCAATTTCTTTGTTAGGTGAGATGTGGAAAAAATAAATAAGCCCCCCAGGAACACAAAGAGTTAACAGCAAACTGATGTAGTGGGCTCTTCTCAACACAGTTGCCTGTGTGCCCCCCTCCCACTCACCCCAACAGTAGCTGAGGGCCCTAGGGTGCTCATCAGTAGAGAAGTAGGTGACCACTACTCCATAATTTCCTCTCTTCCCTCTCAGTTTCCAAGTTACATGAGGATAGGCAGGAGGGGGGTTCAAGGTACCCTAAGATTAGGGCCTCCAGCAGGTCTTGTGGGCCAGCCCGGTGGGAGGACTGTCAGTCCTACCTTGTTCTTGACTTCTGCTGACAGACCGTAGGCAGGGCCTCGGTTGAAGTGAGCAGAGGACATGCTGGTGGGAGATGGGCAGCAGTAGTGGTAGTGGTGGCAGCAGCTGAGGCTCCCTCTGCACCTTCTCTCCTCACATGTTTTTGAAGCTCAGGAGGCGGCCCGGGCTTCTTCCAAAGCTGCCCCATTGGTTGTAGGGGCCTGCCAAGGGGCGGGGCGCCCCCCCCCATCAGCCACCCCCCCCCCTTGTGATGTCAGGGCCTTGGTATTGGGAGCTGATTGTGTCATTGTTTCCACCTAGGGGGGCAGCGTGGAGTCTTTTTTTGGGGGGGGGTGTTGCTTAGCCAGACAGAAGCCAGCCCTTCTCCATCCCCTGCCCCCCCCCACACACACACACCCAACACACTGTTCTTTGGGCATCTGACTGGATCTGAGTCTTTTTGTGTCTGTTTCTGAGGCCATCTTCATCTCTCCCCAGTCTTGAGGCAGAACAGCCACAGGAGTAATTTTTTGACTATACCTGGATTTAACCGCAGACACCAACACCTACACCCCTCCCCTCTAAGCCTCTGTTGCCACATCTGTAAAATAGGCTGAGAATGGTGTGAGGATCAGAAGAAATAAAAACCTGGGGGAGCAAACATCCTATATGTCATGTTCGCCATTTACCCGTAAGTCACCTGAGTCACAGAATGACTGTGTTTATGTCCCAGACAATGGTCACCCCCATATGTCCCTGTCCAGGATATGCTGGCCTGAAGGAAACGTCTGCAAGCAGTAATGGGTGATATGTACATATGCCACATATGTCAAGGTCATGTTAGTCATGGCATTTGGGTGACATGTTCGCAACCTCCCTTGTACTAATATGTTAAGGTCATGCAATCTGCTAGCCATGTGCTAAGGGGAGGGCTATGATATGCTAATATAACATCAGCCCCTGTGCAAGGACCCATTCCAAGTGTCAGTTCAATCCTCACAACACCCTCAGAAGTGGATGCTAATATATGTTTTTTATACGTGGACAAACAGTCACAGGACTGTGGCATCCCCGTTTGCCAGTGACAGAGCAGAAGTCAATTCTATAAGGCTAAAATATGGTTTCTCGTCCCAGGCATTGTTGACATTCTGGCAAGATTTTTTTTTTTAAAGATTTATTTCTTTGTGCATACAGAACTGGGGTACAGGCGAGAGGTGCAGGGGTGGTGAGACGATTCACCAGACAGAGTGGGGAGCAGAACACGCAGATCGATGAAGTACACTGCTCCTGGCAAGATCTTTCTTGGGGAAGACAAGGTGGGACAGGGAGTGAGGGATGCCCTGGACCTTGGATGCTTCTGCTAGACGCCAGTAGCATCCCTCTCAATCTTGACAGAAATGTCTCCAGGCATGCCACATGCTGGGTGTGGTGGGGGGATTGGAGGCAGATCCTCCAATTTGAGAACGACTAGGCTAAGGTAGTGTGCTAAGGACAAGGTGAAATATTGAAGATACAAAATACACAAAATTAAATAATTCCTGCTGAGTGACTTAACTATTAACTAACTCCTCACTTCTGAGATAAAGTCGATATGGGTAAGAGAGGGGTAATGACTACTGTGCCTTGTCACATGGCAAGAGGTTGGAGGAGGCAAGGATTAAATGCATAGATTCTGAAATCCTGTCGAAACCAAAGAGCCATTGGCAGATCGCTACTGCGCATGTAAGATCCTACATCTCGGCGGCGCCTGCGGCCGGCGCCCCCTGGTGGCTGAGAAGGGGCAAGGCGGGGCGGTGACTGGCGGGATCCTGGCGGCGATGACGCACGCGTTGACTCACTGGACACCCGTCTTCCCCCTCCGTTCCCCATTTCCCGACCCGTGGCCGCTTGGCCATTTATAGAATCTGCTGGAGCTCTGTAGTCATTGCACAGGCACGACTGGGGCGGGGTGGGGGAGTTCCTGGTGCGCCCCCGGACAGGACAGGAAAGAGCATCTGATTTGTCCTTCCAATTCTGGATCTGTCTCTAGAGTCCTTCGATGTCCCTTTCTCTGCATTGCCTACCCTTGTACGTTGACTTTGTCCTCTTTCTCTATGCCTCTTCTTGTCTCACTGACCTTGTGTGTATATCTCCTTGTCGCTTGTGTCTCTGTGACCTCTTCCTCTTTGTGCTGTTCGTGTTCCATAAATTTAGTTCATTCTTTTTACTCTCAGTGCCCCCATCTGGTAGATGGAGAGAGGCCCTGGTCACATCCTGAGGCTTCCCAAGGGACGCCCCCCATGACTGATAGTTCAGTGTGCTGTCCCCTACTCATCAGATGTTTCTCAGGCCTTATCAACTGCGTCCCAGTTTCCCATCGAAATGAGAAGGGTGGGTTCTCTTCTGTCTTGCCCTCTGCTCCCCTCAGCAGTGTATCTGAATAGATCTGCCTGTGTTGCTCCTGGCTCTGTCTCTAGTGAATCCTCTCATTCCCCAAGCACCTCTGGCCTGTACCCCCAGGTCTTGTATGCATACATAAATAAATCTTAAAAAAAAGAACAAGAGTGAAGTCTAGTAAGGAATGGAGTTTCCTGGGAAATTGTAGATAGTCAAGAAAAAAAAGCCTTGGGCCCTCCCTGGTGGCAGAGTGAATTAAAGTGCAGCACTATGAGTCTATCGGCAGCCACTGCAGCACAAGTTGGATCCCTGACCAGGGAGCTTACCCACATGGCTCAGACAGACGGCTCCTGTCTCACCCACTGCTCCCCTCAGCAGTGTATTTCCTTTTCTTTCTGGCTTATTTCACTAAGCATGATCTTTTCCAGTTCCACCCATGTTGCTGCAAAAGACATGTGTTTTCTTTTTTTTTTGGTTGCTGAGTAATATTCCATTGTGTATATGTACCACATCTTTTTAATCCAGTCATCCATTTCTGGGCATTTGGGCTCTTTCCATGTCTTTCCAATTGTGAATGAAGCAGCAATAAACATGGGGGTGCAGGTATCTTTTTGAATCAGTGTTTTTTGTTTGTTTGTTTTGTTTTGTTTTCATCTTTTTGGTGGATACCTAGGAGTAGGATTGCTGGGTGATAGGGAAGCTCCATGTTTAGCAGGTTGGTTTTCCATAGTGGTTGTACTAGTTTGCATTCCCACCAGCAGTGCAGAAGAGTTCAGCAGTGTATTTCAGTAGATCTGCCTGTTCTGCTCCCCACTCTATCTGGTAGGGCCTGTCACCCCACACACACACACCTGTGGCCTATATCTCAGTTCTTGTATGCATACATTAAATCTTTTTTTAAAAAAGAAAGAAAAGCTTTACCTTTTATCAAACTTCGCTGACACCTAGAATCTTTTGATTCTCAGAAACATTACACATACAACACACACAAGAACATATACCTCTAGGGAGAGTCACAGCCCCTTTCCTCCTGCTCTTATCCCTCTTACCTTGGCAACCTCTCCTCACCTAGCTTTCCCTTTCCCCAAAACAGGCAGAGAGAGGCACTTAATCCTTACTGTCACCCTCTCTTTGACCCACTTTGTAGATAAGGAAACTCAAGTTCAGAAAAGCCAAGCCCCTCTTCCAGAGTCTCCTATTCCTGCTGCTCCCAGTTCTTCCACATGTATTTATACTTCAGGATCTTTGCACTAAAGTTCCTTCCACCTGAACACATTTCTTTAAGATGCCTAAATGGCCTCCTTCACTCAAATACCACCACTTTAGAGAAGCCCTCCCTGACCATCTGCCCTAAAATAATAGCATGCTTTACCTTCTTACTGACTGTGAGTCAGTTGGGGTTTTTTCAGTCTAAATTTTATCATCTCCAAGTCACAATGGTGATCATAAGTGTGCACCCTTTAAAACAGTAACAGATACAACACGTGTGTAGAAATTCTTGCAGCGAAACACAGCATTCCAACAGAGACAAATGGCATAAGGGAGCTGTTCACATGCCTCTGACTGTGGTGTTTCCCACCATAAAGTGTTTCATTCTAAAAAAGTGGTTTTAAAAGTCCTTACCACTTTTATCTTCTCTCTCCACTTTATTTTTCTTATCTCCTTATTATGGTTCATCCTTTTAGAACAGAAACTCCACAGAGACAGGGTTTGCTTGTTTTATTCACTGTTCTATCTCTAGTGGCCAGCACAGTGCCTGCACACAGATGGTACTCAAAAAATGCTGAGTCAGTGGAATTAAAGCAGTTTAGTGAGGATTTGAGCCCATGTCTGTCTGAAGTGTTGATACTTACACCAAAAGAAGGGTATAATTTCCCAGCACCTTTTGGACTGATGGTAGTTGAGACTGGGGTGCCTTTTGTATTTCCATTTCAATCTTTCCCTGAAGACCACTTGGAGGTTATAGAAGTGGGGGAGTGAATCATAGGCTCTGGGTGGATTTATTCCAACCCATTCTACATTCTATAGCTTCTCACTCCCTTTTCTATCCTTGAGCTTTTTTTTTTTTTTTAGAAGAACTGGGGTATAGATCATAGGTGTGGGGAGTAAGGGAATTCACAAAAGACAGAGCAGAACAGGCATATTTACTAAAATAAGATTTACTGCTGCTAAGGGAAGCAGCAGGCAAGACAGAAGAGGTCTGATGTGCCATATGTGGGTTATTCCCTAGCCAGGGATCGAACTAAGGCCATAGGGGTGAGTGCTGAGACTTAACCCCCAGGCCACCAGGGAGGTCCTCTAACCTTGAGCTTCACAGGAAGATGTTTTGTAGGAAAAACACCTGGTTGAACAAGAGAGCTTAAAAAAGAAAGTAGATGAGTGACAATAAGATTGACAAAACATCAGAATAGCCAACAATACATGGTGCTGGAGAGACTTCAAACATTGTTGGTGAGTGTGGGCAATTTCAAATGACAGGCATTCTTATCTTTTCTAATAGTTACTTCTTTGTGTTAACTTGATTGGACTACAAGAAAGCCTAGACACTTGGTCAAACACTATTCTAGGTGTGTCTGTGGGAGGTATTTTTGGATGAGATTAATATTTGAATTTATAGAGTGAATAAAACAGATTGCGCTTTCCAATATAGTTGGGCCTCATTAGATCAATAGGAGGCTGAGTAGAACAAAAAGTCTGACCTTCCATCTAGTAAGAGGAAGCTTCTCCTGTTTTGGAGATGTGGGTCTTTTCCTGCCTTCAGACTGAAGTTGACACATCAACTTTTCTTGGGTCTTAAGTCTCTTGGTCTTGCACTGGACTCCTACCTTTAATTCTCCAATTTTCAGGCATTTGGGTTCGGGCTGGGACTCCAAGCATGCATTCACCTGGGTCTCCAGCATGCCAACTGCTGATCTTGGACTTCTGTCCCTGTAATAACATTAGCCAATTCCTATAATCTATCTTCCCTTTCTCCACAAACCTTGCCTAACACACACTCTGAGCCAGTAAATCCTCTTTTTTAGACTCTTCCTAAGAGGTATGATAAGTGCAAAGAACATTTATTGCAGTGACTTTGTAATAATAACAAGCCATCTTGTAGATCTATCTACAGGAACCAAGTGAGACAGAAAAAGTTGAAGGCAGAATATGCAGCACTTCATTTCAATGGAATAAATGTGCTATAGTTAAGAGCAGGGGCTCTGGATTAGCATCCCATCGATTTAGGACATGGTTCCTAAAGTCATGTGATCTAGACGGGTGTTTGAACTTCTCCGTGCCTCCATTTTCTCTTCTAGAAAATGGGCATTTTGATGACTGTTTTGCAGATTGGTTTGTTTCTTTAACTTTTTATTTTGAGATATTAATATACTTAGAGAAAAATACAAAGGTAGCATAACTCCCTTATATTCTTAACCCAGTTCACTCTTTATTATATATTCATAGCCTATTTATCAAAACTAAGAAATTACTCTTGTACAATACTATTATAAAACCAGGATTTCTAGTCATGTCCTTCTTCTGTTCCAGGGCCAATCCAAGATCCCTCATCCCATTTAGCTGTCTCCTTAAACTCCTCTAGCCCATGATAGTCCCCTGGTCTTTAACAAGTGTGATGCTTTTTTGAAGAGTACTGGTTGGTGATTTTTGTTGATCTTCTCTCATTTTGGTCTGTCTTGATAAGATCAAGATTTTTGTATTACTGAGAATACCAGAGGGTTGATTTCCCTTCTTATATCAGGAGCTTATGATGTCACTATGACTCATCGCTGCTGCAATGAACTTTAGATTGTGTTTGCCAGGTTCCTCCACTGTGCAGCTACCATTTTCTTCAACCTGTACTTGTTAAGGGGTCTATCTAAGGACTTCACACATTTTACTGTGTTCTATGTTAATAAATGTTTATATGTAAATGCCTATGTTTGACCACTTCTAAAAGGGGAAATAAAATAAGAGTTGTGGTTGCCTCAAGAAGGGGAGGAACTGCAATGGAAGCTCTGAAGGAAGCGAATAGGTCAGTGACTATTCCACCACCACCTGTGATCGTGTGCCTTCACCCACACCGGAGTTGAGCGGAGTGAACATCGCCTGCTATAACTGAGCATGTTTAGCAGAGGGCAGTAGCGTGCCTAGCAGCTGCCCACGCAGCCAGCAACGTGATGAGAAGGCGCGTGTGAGTTCCTCTCAGCTTAGCCAAGGAAAGGACTGTGCTGCGGCTGCCCAGAGTGCTGGTGCTGTTCTAAGAGTGGCTGCGTGTATCCTGTGCATCCCAGGGCCTCAGCAGGCCTTAAAATCTGCAGAAACGGCATTGTGGGAGCTGATAATCATCCTGCCTGGGGCCTCTGCTACTGTCAACCCGTCATTTTATGTGCCTAAACACTCAAGTTGTTAACAGCCTAATACTGAGGCTTTCTGCAGGAACCCAGGAACCCCAGCCCAATGGAACTCCATCTCTTAATACTTAAAGAAAAAAATATATTTATTTTTATTTATTTTATGCATATATAATAATGGTGTGGTGGACAGGTGGAAGGTTGGGAAGGGAGGAGAGGATTCACCAGAGACAGAGTGGGAAAACAAAACCTGTGATAGCTACATAGTGCTGAGACTGAACCCCTTACACCACCAGGGAGGCCCTTTTACTACTTCTTAAAGTATAACTTTTGGGGGACCTCCTTGGTGGTGCAGGGGTTAAAGTCTCAGCACTATGAAGCTATCCCCAGCCATTGCAGCATAAGTTTGATCCTGGCCAGGGAGCTGACCCACATGGTGTCCAGACCTCTTCTGTCTCCCTGCCCCGCTGTTCCCCTCAGCAGTGTACTCCCCACTCTGTCTCTGGTGAATCCTCTCACCTGCACCCCTGGCCTGTACCACCGTTCTTGTATGCATAAATAAATACATCTTTAAATAAATATATATGTATATATAGTGTAACTGTTAAAATTGTGATAAAATATAAATTACTTAAAATTCACCATTTTAAAATATATAATTCTGTGGTGTTAACTATATTCACAATGTTGTGCAACCACCACAGCACCATCATTGGAATTTTTTCATCTCCCCAAACTGAAAAGATGTCCATTAAACACCAACTCCCTCCTCTCCTCCTCAGTCCCTGACACCCACTATTTCCTTACTTTACTTATGAATTTTACTGCTTTATGTTCCTGGAATCATGTACTATTTGTCTTTTTGTGGCTGGCTTATTTCACTTAGCACAGTATCAAGGTTCATTCATTTTGTAGTTGTTTCATAAGTGCCTTCCTTTTTATGCTGAATAATAATATTCCATTGTGTATGTATGACTTATTTTGTTTATCTATTCATCCAACCATGGATACTTGAATTGCCCTGGATATTGTGAATAATGCTACAGTAAACATGGGTATACAAATATGTCTGTGAGTCCCAGCTTTCAGTTCTTTTGGGGCACATAATCTGAAAGCAGAATTACTGGATCATTGGTAACTCCAATGGTAATTCCATTTTCATTTTATGAAGAACTACTTGACTGTCTTCCATAGTGGCTAAGCAATTCCAACAGCAACATAAAGGTGCCATTTCTGACCCTTTTATATGGGTCCCGGCCAGAAGGTGCTTTAGGCTTGTGGAGGGCTTTCAGGACTTGCTTTGGACCAATCCTTTTTGGATAGACTTTACCCACAAGGGGATGGGTAACTTCAGGTGTTTGATTTAGAAATTATATTCTTTGTCTTTTCTGTATTGTATGTTTATTGTATTAAAGTTCCTTTCCATTAAGGCTCTTATGTCTTGTCTTGATGTGGCAGATGGCAGAACCTATTTAGAGCAGACAGGTTTGAGGGTTCAGTGGTGCCCTCTCTCACTGCACTGTAACAAGTACACAGTGATATACAGGCATATCACTGTATAATCATGAAAGCCATGCTTACACTACAGCCTTACCTCTCAGAGGGTAAGGTGTCAAACCAGATTCCATGCCTTCACTGTTGGGAGGGAGAGGAAGGTTTTTGAGGGAATAACCTATGACAACACAAACATGGCTGTTCTGCATAGATTGATATAATTAAACCTCACAAAAACCTATGAGGTTATAATTGACTCATTTTATGGAAGACCTTACAAGGCAGCTCCGAGTCCTGGAGCTAGGTTAGCAGCACCTTCATCACACAAAAAGCAGTTAATAAATGTGGAGGAGGGCCTCCCTGGTGGAGCAAGGAGTTACACCTCAGCGCTATCACACTATATAGCAGCCATTGTGACCTGAGTTATATCTCTGCCCAGGGAGGTAATCCACATGGCACAGCAGACCTCTCCTGTCAGCCTGCTGCTATCCTCAGCAGTGTGTTTCAGTCCATCTGTCTGTTCTGCTCTCCACTCTGCTCTGTCTCTGGTGAATCCCCTGTCTCCTGCTCACACACACACACTGTGGATCACCTCTCCCGCTCCCACTCTCTCACAAACACACACAAACACACCCTCCCACATTTAGCCAACCCAACCCCCCACCTCTTGTATGCATAAATTTGAAAATTCTTTTTTAAAACACACACACACAAACCCTCCCACATCTGGCCAACCCCTCCACCCCCAACACACCTCTTGTATGCATAAACTTGAAAAAATTTTTTTAAGATTTATTTATTTATGCATACAGAACTGGGGTACAGGTCAGAGGTGCCGGGACGGTGAGAGGCTTCACCTGAGACTGAGTGGGGAGCAGATAGAGGAAGTACACTACTGAGGGGAGCAGTGGGCGAGACAGGAGAGGTCTGCCGCGCCATGTGGGTAACCTCCCGGGCAGGGATAGAACTCGCACTGATGCGCTGCGGCCAACTTGCAGTGCTGAGTCCTAACCCGTGGCGCCAAAAGCGAGTGCCTGAAAAATCTTTTTCAAAACACACATCCTCCCACATCTGTACAAAACACCCCCCCCACACACACATACCACCTCCACCTCTTGTATGCATGAATTTAAAAAAATATTTTTTTAATTGGAGCAAATGAAGGAACTCAACACTTCAACCTTTAATTCTACACACACACCCCATTTCAGGTGTGAAAACTGGGGTGCTACCTGGACTCACGAACCACTTAATCTGTAAAGGGTCCAGCTGGCCCAAGGTGCCATCAAGCCGCAAGTCAAGGGAGAGGTTTGGGGGCTGGGAGCCGAGCCTGACTCGTTGTGAGGCGGGGCTAAGCATATGCGCATTCCAATTGGTGTGGCTCCATCAATAGGCGGGAGCCCTCTAAATCAGCATTCTCGATTCGCTGTCTTCCTGGTGGCACATGACCCGGAAATTTTCTGAGCAACATGGCGGCGCCCAGTGGCAAGACAGACCTGGCCTGGAGTGCGTGGCTCGCCTAGTAAGTAGGTTGGCGTGGCGGGAGCAGTGCTAATTGCTGGGATGGACCATTCTGGGCGGCGGCGCGGGAGAGCGGCCCCAGAGAGATCCGGTTGCAGGGCCAGGGCGCCATGACCTTTAGGAGTGAGGGATACGAACCTGCGGTAAAGGTCGGGCTCGTTGTATCCGCCGCTTCACACCCCAGATTTCCCATTTTGCAGATGGGGCAGTTGACGCTTGGAGAGGCTAAGGCCCTTTCCCGAGGTGACTCCGCAAATCGGCATCTAGACTGGAATTCGAATCCGCTGCTGCCTGTTTCTCCTAGAGGACGCTGAATCCTTACAGCCAGCCCCAGAGCTGCTGTAGGTACACCCGCGACGGGACTCAGATTTATTAAAACTTTTGTAGAAATTTATCTCTTCTTCCCATTCAACTGATAATAGGAACTATGTATATATATCAGGCATTGTCCCGGGAGCTGGAGACATAACAATGGGGGAGTCAGACCAAAAAAAAAAAAAAATCCCGACTTCCTGTGGGAGCCAGATATAAATAAACAGAACAGGTTATTCCAGTGCTAATAATTGCTAAAAACTCACTCATAGAGGTAATGGGGGCTTTAGAATGGGAGAGGGCAGCAGTCAAAGGAAGTCTTGCTCATTTCAGTAGAGACCCAAATGACCAGAGGATCTGGAGAAAGAAATTTCCAAACAGGGAAAGCCAAGTGCAAAGGTCCTGAGACTACAATAAAATTGTGTAAAAAACAGTGTAGCTGGAGTCGCCAGTAGTAACAGTCGAGTTTGGAAGAGTAGGCCCTGTCTGCTTTTTCTTAAGTGTGATTCACCATTAGTGATTTTCGGCAGGGAACACTGAATTTAGTTTACAGTTTAAAAAGCTCACTGGCCACACAGTGGGGAGAAAACTGATTGGAGGCAGGTAAGCAAATAAGTGGGAGGGAAGCTGAGTAACTTACTCATGAAGTAGGTCATTGATTGGCATGGTAGCTTGCAGGTGGAGAGAAAATGATGCATTTGGAAATAGTCACTAGAATTAGTTGATAGAATGACTAGAGGAGTCAGGGATAAAGTAGACTAAGAAATGACTCCTAGGTTTATGACCTGAAAGATAAGGAATAAATGTGTTATTGGGATAACATGGGAAGGAATAAATTTAAGTGGTGTCACTTAAAACTTAAGGGGGTGTTGGCCCTCCCTGGTGGCGCAGCGGGTTAAAGCGCAGCACTGAGAACCTAAAGCCGCTTCCACATGAGTTTGATTCCCACCTGACCCGGAGGTGACCACATGGTGTGGCAGACCTCTCCTGACCTGCCCGCTGCTCCCCTCAGCAGTGTACTTCGCCGATCTGCTTGTTCTGTTCCCCGCTCTGTCTCTGGTGAAGCCTCTCGCCGCCCCTGAGCCTCTGGCCTGTACCCCAGTTCTGTATGCACAAATAAATAAATCTTTAAAAAAAAAAAACTTAAGGGGGTGTCAGTTTGCAACAGATTAAGTTTAAGATGACTAGTTGTAAGCCAGAGTGGCAATTAGTTCAGGGCTGGAAATAAACATTTGGGAGCTATCAATATAAAGATCATTTCTTTTTTTCTCAACACTGAGATTTATTTATTTATGCATACAGGAACTGTGGTACAGACCAGAGGTGTGGGGGTGAGAGGCTTCATCGGAGACAGAGTGGGGAACAGAACAGGCAGACTGACTGAAATACACTGCTGAAGGGAGCAGTGGAGAGACAGGAGAGGTCTGCTGGACCATGTGGGTCCTCCCTGGATCTAATGCCTGCTGCCATGGCTGCAGATAGCTTCTTAGTGCACCCCTTGTGCCGCCAGGGAGGCCTCTGTTTCTTAAGATTTAGTTTTATTTATGTATACAAGAATTGGGATTTAGGCCAGCAGTGTGGTTTGGGGGTTAGAGGGCTCACCAGAGACAGTGGGGAGCAGAACAAGCAGATCCACTGAAATACACTGCTAAGGAGGGCAGCCGAGGAGACAGGAGAGTTCTGCTATGCAATGTGGGTCACCTCCCTGGCCAGGATTGACTCATGCAGGTTGCTTTGTACTGCTGTGATTTAACCCCTTGCACCACCAGGGGGGCCCAGTAGCAAAGGTTTAGAGTAAGGTCTTAACCTCAGCTTTATATTAGAGTCTTGGGGACTTTTAAAATGCTGGTGTCTGGCCTATCTTGGTGTGGCTTGGGCATGGAGAGTTTTAAAAGAAACATTGTCAATGCCTACAGGGATATAGATAGAAGAGGAGCAAGTTGAATGATATCTCAGGGTATCACTCTGACAAATTCAGATAGTGGAATTTCTTGTACCCTTATTATGCAAAGTGTGGTCTCCAGACAATCAATTTATTTGTGTAGTTTTGACTCCACCCCAGATTGCATTTTAACAAGATTCCAGGTGTTTCTTCTGCATGTATAAATGTGCAAATACTGTAGAAAAAGCACATCTTACTGATTGAGAAACCAGCCCCAGTGCTAGGAAGAAAACCTAAAATGTTAAGGTTGGAGGAAAAGGCCTCACCTATGCCACATACTTTTAAGAAATTGAATAGGATGAAGCCTGAGAAGTGACTACTGGTTCTGGTAAATATAGTGCATACATAAGGCCTTCATAAGAATGGTGAGGGCAGCAGCTAAGTTGGAGAGGGTGAGGAAAAAGCTAGTGTGTAAATAACTTTCAGGAGAAGCTTTGCTTTAAATGGAGCAGAGAGGGAGAGCAGGAGCAGGAGGGAGTCTTCAGATCATGATGGAAGAAGCTAGCGAAAGTTTAAATGACAATAAGCGTAGTCCAGTAGATGCAACAAGACATACAAAAAGTATTCGACCAAATTCAGTATTCTTATAAAAATACTAGACATCTAGAATAGATGGGAACTTTCTCATTCTGACAGACAACATCTATGAAAAATCCATAACTGACATTATAACTAATGATGAAAGACTAAATGCTTTTCCCCTACTATCCAGAACAAGACAGTCCTCCCTGGTGGCGCCACAGATTAAAGCACAGCACTGTGAGCGTATCTGCAGCCACTGCAGCACGAGTTCAATTCCCAGCCAGGGGGGTGACCCACATGGCACAGCAGACCTCTACTGACTCACCCACTGCTCCCCTCAACAGTGTATTTCAGCCAGTCAACCCATTCTGTTCCCCATTCTGTCTCTGGGGAATCCACTCCCCGCGCCCCCCCCCCCCCATACCTCTGGCCTATACCTGAGTTCTGTATGCATAAATAAATAAATCTTTAAAAAGAGGGAAAAAAAGAACAAGACAAAGGTGTCCATGCTTGCCACTTCTACTCAACATTGTACTAGAATTCCAGCAAGGACACTTAGACAAGAAAAGTAAAAGGCATCAAGATTGGAAAAGAAGAAGTAAAACTATACTTGCAAAAAACATAATCTTGTACATAGAAGATCTTAAGGAATTCAACCTTACTGAACTCGGAGTTGCAAGATACAAAATCAACATTATTTCTGTTTACTAGTAATGAATAATGTATAAATTAAGAAATAATTCCATATATAATAGCTGTAAAGAATAAGTATATATGAATAAATTAACCAAAAAATTAGCAAAATGTAATAAATTTAACAATTTCACTAAAATTTCTAAAGCATCATTAAGGGAAATTAAAGAAGCTCTAATAAATAGATAGGTATCCCACATCCATGGATCAGATTTAAGAAACCAGTAATCCTCAAATTAGTCTGCAAATTGAATTCTACTTCAACAACTGATTTTCCTTTTTCTTTTTTTTTCCCTAAAGGTGACAAATGATTCTAAAATTTGCATGTAATTGTGATCTACAATAGCCAAATAACGTTAAGAAGTAAATAGGGGCCTCCCTGGTAGTCTGAGGGTTAAGTTTCAACACTATTATTCCCCGTCGCCCAAGTTCAATCCCTGACAGGGGGCTAACCCACTTATGAGACAGCAGATCTCTCCTGTCTTGCTCTTCCCTTTAGCAGTGTAGTTTAGTAAATTTGCCTGTTTTGCTCCCCACTCTGTCTTCTGGTGAATCCTCTCACCTCCATTACCTCTGGCCTATACCCCAGTTCTTCTATGCAAAAAAAAAAAAAGTAAATAGGTAGATTTTACACTTCCTGATTTGAAAACTTACAAACTACAATAATCAAATATCCTGGTACTGGCATTTCTTCATTGATCAACATATGGATCAGTGAAGTAGAATAGAGAGCCCAGAAATAAGCCCTTACATTTATGGTCAGTCACTTGCAGCAAGAGTGCCAAGACAAAATAAGGAAAGAATTCTCTTTTAACAAATAGTATTAGAATAACTGGATATCTACACAAAGTTGAAACCCTTCCTCATACCATTCACAAAAATTGATTCCAAGTAGACCATACCCCTAAATGTAAGTATGAATACTACAGAATGTTAGAAGAAAATATACAAATAAGTCTTTATAACCTAAGGCTAGGCAGATCTTTAGATACAAATCCAAAGTACAACTGTAAATGAAAAACAGTTGGACCTCATCAGAGTAAAAACGTTGTACTGCAGGTAATAACATCAAGAAAATGGAAAGACTCATTTAATAGACCAATTTTAACTTATTTTTATTTTATGTATGTATTTATTTATTTATTTTAAAGATTTATTTATTTGTGCATACAGAACTGGGGTACAGGCCAGAGACGCGGAGGGTGAGAGGATTCACCAGAGACAGAGCAGGGAGCAGAACAGGCAGATCGATGAAGTACACTGCTGAGGGGAGCAGTGGGCGCCATGTGGTCACCTCCGGGGCAGGCGGGAATCGAACTCATGCGGAAGCGGCTTTAGATTCTCAGTGCTGTGCTTTAACCCGCTGCGCCACCAGGGAGGGCCCTATGTATTTATTTTTAATTAAGGTAATACTGGGATACTCCCATCACATATTCACCCATTTTCCACCACAGACCATTGTGCTTCTTTCCTCTTGTCCTTTCCCCTCCCTGAAACAAGCCAATTTTTAAATTGACAAAGGATCTAAATAGACATTTCTCTAAAGGAGATACACACTGCCCAATAAACACATGAAAAGATGCTCAACACCATTAATCATTAGGGAAATGCAAGTCTAATCCATAAAGAAACACTACTTCAGGCCCACTAGGATGTCTATAATCAAAAAGAAACAATAGCCTGAGGGGAGTAACTAATTGTCCAAAACTGAACAATGATATAAGAAAATAAATAAATTTAGAAAAAAATAGCGAGCATTGGGAAGATGTGGCAAAACTGGAGCCCTCATATACTGCTTGTAGGAATCTGAAATAGCCACTTTGGAAAATAGATGGATAGTTTCCCAGAGTTTAAACAAAGATTTGACTAAGAGAAGCATATGCATGTTCACACAAAAACTGCTATATTAGTGTTAGTATCATTCATATTTAGCAAAAGGAATTAAATTTTTACATATGCCTCAGGGTGACTGAGCTTTGAAGATAGGGTAAATGAAAGAAACTAATCAGAAAAGAATATGTCATGTGATTTACTATATGAAGCACCCTGAGCTGGTGCCAAGGGCCAGCTCTGGTGAATAGGGTTGAGGAAAGGGGCCCAAAAGGACTGACAGACACTTAATAGAGTTTAAAAGAAGCAGGACCCAGGAGACACAAGGCTTTTATTTTGGCCTCAAACCTCCCAAGTGTCAGGTGTAACTTGTTTTTAGTGATAAAAACAGCCTCCCGTTTTTCTGTTAGCTGTTAGACAATGAATCTTATTTTTAGTATTTAGCCTTGTCCAGCACATATTTACTGCCAAGGTTTTGCGTTATTGGGTATGTTTTATTCCTTTTTTAATTTTATCTGCTTCTCAGGTGTAGCTTTGCTGACAAAAGAAAGGACATCATGTTCTGGACAGGGACCAGTCTTTCAGCCCATGTTGACCAGTCTTTCAGTCATGACCTTGACATTTTCCTTGTCTTAGCACCTTACACCTTAGGGGTCTCCAGTAAGCAGGCAAATCTATTGCAACAATAAATTAGGGGTTGTCTAGGGTTGACAGTGAGAGGAAATGATTGACAGCTAATGGGTAAAGGTTTTCTTTTGGGTGTTCCAAAATTAGATTGTAGTGATGTTTGTACAATTCTGTATATATTAAAAAGCAAGCTATTTTTAGAAAGAAATTAACATGGAGGATACCATTGCAGGGGCAAATTCCTTACAATATGAAGGGGTTAACCCACAGAATAGGAAACCTTGATTTTAATAGTCATCCAAGCCCCACCTTGTGGATGAGGGAACAACTAGGACTGGCAAGTTAGCCATGCCATCTGGAATATGACATCACCCACTAGAGGTTCTCATCTCCATTAGCTAGCCTGATGCTGTCTCCTCTCTCTTGACCAGGTGGTTGTCCATCAAGCAGAGGCATGAGCTGGGTCCAAGCCATCCTGCTGACCCGGAGCCTCTCTCGGGGCTGGGGAAGCATTTGCAGGGCAACTCTGTCTGGAGCCCCTTTTTCTCAGGTAAGCACCAACTAGTAAGTCATTTGGATGGAAGGTAGCTGATAGGTATGGGATATGTCCTCATGTCCTTCACAATCCCCCCAGAGAAGTTCTGCAAGGACTGGGCTAGCCTGTCTGCTCTGAGAGCCCATTGAACATGCTTTATCCATTTTAAGAGGCATGAGGACCTAATTGTCTAGGAAGCTGAATTTGAAAGTAAGAATGGTTAAGCTAAGTGAATTTGGATACTGACTGTGGGTAGTTCCTGCATATACTTGTACAGAAGGGGGCAGAAAATTGAACTTTCATCTCTCTCTTTTTTTTTTTTTTTTAAGATTTATTTATTTGTTTATTCATACTAGAGCTGGGATGTAGTTCAGAAGTGTTGAGGGAAGCATTGAGTGGATTCACCAAAGACAGAGTGGGGAGCAGAACAGGCAGGCTGACTGAAATATACTGCTGAGGGGAGCGGCGGGGAAGACAGGAGAGGTCTGCTGTGCTATGTGAGTCACCTCCCTGGCCTGGGATCAGACTCATGCTGCAGTGGCTGCCTATAGCTTCATAGTGCTGAGACTTAACCCCTTGCACCACCAGGGAGTCCCCTGAGCTTTCATCTCTTACCCAAAGTCACAAGATGGCCTATATCTGGCCACGGATAGCAAAACATTGATAGCGATGACTCCTTTATTGAGCACTTACTTTCATAGTACATGCCCTGCATCATGCAGTATTTATATTATAGTCATCCTTCAGGATCATTGAGGGGTTGACCTTAGGTACCCCAATCTGAGCATGTTCAAATTCCTTATATGAAAATTCACAACATTTGCATATAACCTACACACACAATCCTGTATACTTTTATTTGTATTTATTTTTTTAAAGATTTATTTATGCATACAGAAATGAGGTACAGCCAGAGGTGCAAGGGCGGGGAGAGGATTAACCAGAAACAGAATGGGAGGCAGAACAGGCAGACTGACAAAGTACCCTGCTGAGGGGAGCAGCGGGTGAGCAGGAGAAGTCTGTTGTACCATGTGGGTCACCTCCCGGGCAGGGATCAAACTCGCACCGAAGCGCCATGACTTGGCTTAGCTTCACAGTGCAGCGCTCCAACCCGCTGTACCAGCAGGGAGGGACCCTGTATACTTTTATTCTTTTTTAAATATTTATTTATTCTTACAGAACTGGGGTACAGGCCAGAGTTGTGGTGGGTAAGAAGATTCACCAGAGACAGAGTAGGGAGCAGAACAGGCAGATTGACAAAAGTAAACTGTTGAGGGGAGCAGTGGGCGGGTCAGGAGAGGTCTGGTATGCCATGTGGATTCCCTGGCTGGGAATCAAACTTGTGCTGCAGTGGCTTCTAGAGTTTCATAATATGGTGTTTTCCCATTGTGCCACCAGGGAGAGCTCCCCTATATACTTTTAAATTATCTCTGGAGTACTTAGAATATTTAATACAATGTAAATGCTATGTGAATAGTTGTTATACTGTATTGTTTAGGGAATAGTAATAAGAAAAAACCCATGTATGTACAGTGCAGTCATTCTAGGCTTAATTACATCATATGGATTTTTTTGATCTGTGGCTGGTTGAACCCATGGATGTGGAATCCAGTTCATTACGTAGAATGTATTTCATTTGTGGTGTCTCTCCTTTGGGGCATTCTAGAAACTCCTTTCTGATTTTTGCCCTATATATATATTCCACTTGTAGAATACCACACTTTTTTACTTTAACACTTTCTTTAAACATCATTTTATCTAAACAGGACATAGAATGACTGTTGGGAGTCAGCTGAGCAGAAAGTCTAAGGGCAGGACTTGAGTCTTAGTCTATTTTGTAGTTGTGTGACACTAGATATCCTCCTTCACTTCTCTGAGTCTCAGTTTCCTTATCTGGAAAATTGGGTACAGTAAGGGCTCTCCCCCAATGGACAGTGGAAAGATTAAATCATCCACATACTCAGAAAGTCCTAAACAATGCCTGAAACACAAGAATATTCAGTTTAAATTTAAAAAAAAGAGAAAGAAAAATGAATATTTGGTAAGTATTAGCTCTTACTAGTCTTGTACTTTTTATTTTTCAAAGGTTTATTTGTTGGCCCTCAGGTGGCACAGTGGTTTAAAGCACCACACTGTGAAGCTAGCTGCAGCTGCTTCAGCACAAGCTCGATCCCCAGCCAGGGAGATGATCCACATGGTACAGCAGACCTCTCCTGTCTCACCCGCTGCTCCCCTCAGCAGTGTACTTCATCAATCTGCCTGTTCTACTCCTCACTCTGTCTCTGGTGATTCCTCTCAACTGCCCTGCACCTCTGGCCTGTACCCCAGTTCTGTATGCCTAATTAAAAAAATAAATCTCTTAAAAAAAAAAAAAGGGGGAGAGTGGGAGGGTGTAAGGAGGAGGAGATGGTAAGGAAAAGAAAGATTTATACAATCAAGAGTTCAAGAACTGGGGTACAGGCCAGAGGTGCGACGGTTGAGAGGATCCACCAGAGACACAGTAGGGAGCAGAACAGCCAGATAGACCAAAATACCCTGCTGAGGGGAGCAGTAGGCAAGACAGGAGAGGTCTGTTGTGACATGTGGGTCACCTCCTTGGCTGGGGATCAAACTCATGCCATAGCATCTGCAGAGTGCTCGACCCCTTAGTGCTCGACCCCTTATGCCATTAGGGAGACCCCACTAGCATTGTATTTTTAAAGATGCCTTATATATAGCTACTCTAATTTAAACATTCAGTTTAAATCAAATTAAGACATTTGCTAGTCTACCATCCAAATATGGGTCAGCAAGTTATGATAAAGGGTCAGATAGTAAGTATTTTTGTCTTTGCAGGCCACCACCTCTGTGTTATAACTGTGGCCAGGCATTGCTTAATGATGTTTCATTCAACAACTGCATATATGACTGTGGTTCCAATAGGTTCCATTTACCTGAATTTATTGTAGACTGTACTATCAATGTTTTGTTATCATTCTCTGTGACATTTGCACAATGATGAAATCACTTAATGAGTGGTTTCTCAGAACATATCCTCATCAGTGTGGTATGACTATACTCAGCTCTGCCACTGTAATGAATGGGCATGACTGTGTTCCAATAAAACTTTAATAACAGAAGCACAGGCTGGCAGATTTTTGTTCCATAGGCTGGTTTGCTGACTCCTATTCTGAGGAATCCGGCCTGCTTCCATCAGTATGCACTCCCTACTTGGGGACTGAGATCTTCTTGAACCACAGGAGGTGCTATCATAACATATGGGGAACTGAGATCTGAGCAGTAAAGTGGGTTGTGGGCATTATATGGCTAGGATACAGTGAAGCCAAGACTCCCATTGATTACAGAACATGTTTTCTTTTGTTGAAATGTATCTTTGAATACATGGTACTTTTAGTTCAAAAATTCAAAAAGTCCTGGGGCTATTCCACAAGGGTCTGTCCCTCTCTTGTTTGACCACCTCTTAACTCCCTTCTCTACAGAGAAGAGATGTTACCTGTTTATTGTAACATCTGGAAGAAATATTCTTCCAGAGATATTTCACAGAAGCAAACAATACGTAGAAACGCAATTCTCTTTACTCAAAATAGTTGAGTCTTCCAACGTTACCACATACACTGAATTACTGAAAACTGAACCATTGCTTCCAGGGGAAACAGGTGGGTTCCTATAATGGGGCCTCTGGGCAGATTTCCATCAGTCACTCCATACGTAACTTTTTTATATGTGAGTTTCTGTTTAGAGTCACTGTATTTAATATACATGGGTAATTCCTTAACATTGAACTCTCAACCAACAGCACTTTAACTTGTGTATAAACAAAGCTTATCTATCACATAGTATATTCTCAGTAGGGAACAGCAGGGCCTTTTTGCAGGCAGGAACACTAGATAATACTTAACAGACAATGGTAGGAAGTCACTTTCAAAAGAGTGAACATGGACTTCCCTGGTGGTGCAGGGATTAAAGACAGCACTATCAGCTATTGCTAGCCACTGCAGCACAAGTTCAAAACACAGCCAGTCAGGGAGGTGACTCACATGGTGCAACAAATCTCTCCTGTCCTGCTCACTGCACCTCTCAGCACTATTTCAATAGATCTGCCTGTGCTGCTCTTCACTTCCTCTGGTGAATCCTGTTACCCCCAACACCTCTGGCCTATACTGCAGTTCTTGTATGTATAAATAAATCTTTAAAAGGAAAAAAAAAAACAGATGTGACCAATATATGCTAAATAAACTTCCAAATTTACTGTCAGAATGAAAGCAAAAAATAAAAAGTCAAGTGGGTCATCCATTGAGTAACTTGAAGTTTTCAATGCATTGTACTTGTCTGCAAATGACAGGGAAATTACCGTAAACACTGATTTGGGGATCACAAATTCCCACAAGTAGGCCAGTTGAAAGCTACAGAATCTGTAAATAATGAGGAGCTACTGTATATACTTGTTTGGTTTTACACATTTGGGAACCTACTTTACACATTGTTTCACACCTTGTTCTTGCTTTTTTTCTATTTAATAATATACTTGGGAGCTTATCTGTGGTCACAGACCCTCCTCAGGGTGTCTTATAACAGCTGGTGATCCTTGTCCATGTTCACAGCTACTTAACAGCTTCCTTTCTGATGCACATTGGAGCCACTTCCACCACTGTAGCAGATGTGTTTATAACTATCAGATTTAAATACCCAGATGAAGGAGGGTATTTGATTGTCACTGCAGGGAATACTACCAAATTGGTGCCACGAGGGTTTTACCATTGTTTTCTCACACTTTTTGTAATGGTACCAGGTTTGGGTTTGGAACCACAGCACTCAAGTTCATTTGCGTGTTATCTATAGGCACCTTTCCCTGGAAGAAGTCAGCCTGGCAGACCTCAGGGGCCATGGGAGGTGCCAGACTCCAACAGCATTTCTCTGTCCCCAGGTGACCTCCCAGATCTGCCGGAACCTCCACTGCAGCATAGCCGCTCATAACTCTGACTCGTCACTCATCCCACATCCCCCTAAGCCCTCTCAGGGCCCTGCAAAGGCCCTGGCACCCCATGAGGAGCTGTTTAGGCAGGCACCTGATGGGGTGCGGGACAAGGCAAGCTTTTTGCAGGCTGTGCAGAACTTTGGGCAGCACAATGTCCACAAACGGGGCCATGTTGACTTCATCTACTTGGCCCTCCGCAAGATGCGTGAGTATGGAGTGGAGCGGGACCTGGCTGTCTACAACCTGCTGCTTGACATCTTCCCCAAGGAAGTCTTCCGGCCACGCAGCATCTTCCAGAGGATGTTCATTCACTACCCCCGGCAGCAGGAGTGTGGGATTGCTGTCCTGGAACAGATGGAGAACCACGGTGGGGCCAGCAGGCCAGCTGGGGGTTGGAGGAGGAAGGGTGCTGTCTTGCTTCCTCTCCTGCTCTCTCTCAGTATCTCTCATGCTGTCTCCCTCTGAATTTCCCTTTCTTATTCTCTCAGATTCTGTTCTTCCTCTCTGCCATTAATTGCCTGACTTAACTCCACCCTGTCTCTCATTCCTTCCACATACTCCCACCCTCTGCTCAGCTCCATCTCTACCCTCTGCCCAGCACAGGGGTGATGCCCAACAAGGAGACAGAGTTCCTGTTGATTCAGATATTTGGACGTAGAAGTTATCCTATGCTCAAGTTCGTGCGCATGAAGCTGTGGTTCTCCCGATTCAAGAACATCAATCCATTCCCAGTACCCCGGGACTTGCCGCAGGATCCTGTGGATCTGGCCAGGTTGGGCTTGCAGCACATAGAGCCCAACCTCAGTGCCAGGGTCACCATCTATCAGGTACTCACCCTTGTCTACACCCTTAACTGACACCCTGAGTGATTTTGGTTTACCCCAGCCAGATGCCATGTGCCTTACTTCTCATCAGTTTGACCTCTGACCTCTGCTTCTACCCCTCTCCTTACACTGTATTTCAGTCATCTCCCTTCCTTTCTGTTTCTTGAGTAGTCCTGTGCTCTCTGTTCTCTTCCAAAAGCACTCTCCCCAGGAACCTCAGATCTCAACTCCACTACCCCTTCCTGACCACTCTGACTGAGGTCCACCTCTTCCCTGTACTGAGCTCAGCTGTTCATTCACACAGTTTCCATGTCTCCAAGTCCTCAAATAGTCTGGTACAAAGCTGACCCTTAGCAATTGTTTCTTGAATAACTGTAAAGAGAATATTCCACTACCTCACAGCTTTTGCTCCAAGTATACATCAAGAGAGAATTATCCATGGCAATTGGTACTTCAGTGAAAGATTGGTAACAAAAGCCAACCCCGGATAACATACAGTTTCCCTCCAAGCCACTCATGCTGACATAAAGAACCCAATTGGGAACTGAGCAGAGGTTTGGGGCATGAAGATCTTCCTGGAGGAAGTGAGGGTGAGCTAGGTCCAGGCAGAACAGGAGAAGCAAGAACATTCCACATAAGGGAGCTGTTGTGTGGGTCAGTCTCAGATAATGCCAGGAGTCACAGAAGATGTTAACAGGGCTTCCTTTGGAAGGATTTTGAGTTAAAGAGCTTGGTTTTGCATCTGTTGGTTGGAGAGAATTGGAAGGTTTTAAGTAGAAGGTGGGGTACCAGTACTTCTAGAAGTATTTGTGCTTTAGCAAGCACTATGTAGTGGCTGTGTGGATGGTGGTTTGATGAGTTGAGGGCAGAACACAAAAGGGCAAGAGTGACTATAGTGTCCAGGTGAAAACGAACAGATTTGGCCTACAACTCACTATAGAGGGGCATAGTTTTTTTGTTTTTTTTTTTAAGATTTACTTATTTATGCATACAGAACTGGGGTACAGGCACAGGGGGTGAGAGGATTCAGCAGAGATAGGAGGGAGCAGAACAGGCAGATCGATGAAGTGCACTGCTGAGGGGAGCAGCGGGCAGGTCAGGAGAGGTCTGCCATGCTATGTGGGTCACCTTCGGCCCTGGGGATCGAATTTGCACTGGAGCAGCTGTGGCTCACCCACAGTTCTGTGTTTCAACCCACTGTGCCACCAGGAAGGGTCAGGGGACATAGTTTTAAAGTAATTTCTTCATTTCTTCAAGTAATTCATTAGAAAAGCCAACACTACATAATGGCACACAGTGATGAGTTCTCTCTTCAGCTCCCAGTCTCCCTCCCCAGTAGTGACCTTTTCCCTGTCCACTAATAGAAAGATCCAGGACATTTGTAAGCATATATGTCCTCTTTATTTTTTCTTTTCGCCTATGGAGAAGGCCCACAAATAATATCTTTTATTTGCCTTCCAGCAGAGGCCACCATCGGTGGTGTTTGCACATTCTCCCCATGTCCACTGGGTTTTCTCCAGACCCTCAGTTTCCTCCTACAACCCAAAGATGTGTGTGTGCAGTTCACTGGCATGTCTAGTTGGAGTGTGTGTATGTGCATGGGTGTGTGTTTGCACACTTGTAGGTGCACATACGCACAGTATGCACCCTTCCACAGAACAGCATCCTGCCTAGGGTTGAGTTCCACCTTTTACCCTGAGCTGCCAGGATAATCTCCAGCTACTTGTGACCCTGAACTGGAAAAAATGAGCTAGAAAATGAAAGGATAACCCAACACTAATATTTTTTTTTAAAGGTTTATTTATTTGTGCATACAGAACTGGGGTACAGGCCAGAGGCTCAGGGGCGGTGAGAGGCTTCACCAGAGACAGAGTGGGGAACAGAACAGGCAGATCCACGAAGTACACTGCTGAGGGGAGCAGTGGGTGGGCCAGGAGAGGTCTGCCACACCATGTGGTCACCTCCGGGCCAGGCGGGGCTTGAACTCATGCGGAAGCGGCTTTAGATTCTCAGTGCTGTGCTTTAACCTGCTGCGCCACCAGGGAGGGCCCAACACTAATATTTAAGTGCTTGTTTGGGTCTGTCTTTAGAAGTTTAGTGATTTTTTTTGTGACCAAAATTGTGCTCTACAAACAAGTCTTTTTTATGTTAAGTACCCTGTGATCAAGTGGTTTCATTCTGCGTGGTTTCACTTAAAATCATAGTCTCAGAACCTGTCCACAGGGTTACTTGAGGACTTATTGTATATCCTTTGAATTAAATACTTGTTTGCCATCTCATGAGAAGTACATATAGAAAAGTTGAAAATATGATGTTTGTCTGCACTAATGAAAAGCTATAAGGGAAATGAAACCCTCTAAGTATCCATCAAGAGAGAATTATCTGTGGCAATGGCACTTCAGTGAAAGATTGTTGACAAAAGCCAGTGAAAAGCTAAAGCAAGCACATTGGTTCAGTAAGCTATTGTAGGTGTGAGGGAAAGAAGGGAAAACTGCATACTTATTTGCCCATTTTCACAAAAATAAACACTGCAAAGATAAGTCTGAAATGGCAAAAATTTATCTTTGGGGATTGGAGATGTGGGGAGAGAGACCAGGAGTGGAAAAGAGACATCTGTTTTTTTATGGGTTGGCATTTAATCATACCCAAAAAAAGAGTGAAGAAAGCACCAAACTGAAAACAAATGGATATGGCTAGAGATCTGATTGATAGCCTGAGAGTAAAAATTCTTCCAACACCCTCCCTGGTGGCACAAAGGGTTAAAGCACAGCACTAAGAAGCTAAAACTACTTCAGCATGAGGTTCAATCCCCACCCCGGAGGTGACCCACACGGCATGGCAGACCTCTCCTGACCCGCCACTGCTCTCCTCAGCAGTGTGCTTCGTCAGTCGGCCTGTTCTGCTCCCCACTTTGTCTCTGGTGAATCCTCTCACCGCCCCTGCACCTCTGGCCTGTACCCCAGTTCTGTATGCATAAATAAATAACTCTTTTTTAAAAATTCTTCCAAGTTATCATTATTCAACTTCACATCTTAGTGCAATATACTTTAGGAGTAAACAAAACCTGCAGAGAAATCCTGACCTTAATCATCTAATGTGATGGTGAGACTAGTTGCAATATAATATCTGTATCTTGATGGGTAAGTCAAATAATAAAATGTATTAGTGTTGACAGGAACCAGAGGAAAAGGGATATAAATACATATAAGTATAGTCAAAAAAAAATTTTTAAAGCCCTCTATAATTTTCTATTTGAAATCAAAGGTCAGGATATGTTGTCCAGAATCTTAGTGGGCCCAAGAACAAAACATACTTTTATTACCCCCTAAGGTAAATACTTTTAGAAAAGTTTCTCCCCAAAACCTCCCAGGTGGCGCAAGAGGTTAATAAGCCTCCATGCTATCAAGCTATGGGCAGCCATTCTGGCCTGAGTTGACCCACATGGCGCAGCAAACCTTTCCTGTCTCATCCACTGCTCCCCTCAGAAGTGTTTCAGTCAGTCTGCCTATTTAGTTCCCTACTCTGTCTCTATAGTGAATCCTCTCACTCCCACACCCCCTCACCTTAGTACTTGTATGCATAAATAAAATAAATCATTTTTTAAAGAAAATGTTTCTCCCCTGGAAGAGTATATTGTAAGCCTCACTTGTTTCTGTTTTTACTAAATAAATGTCAGTACCTTTAAACCCCTCAATTCTTTCCAACTTAGAAGAATGGACAAAGTCATCCACTCGCTGACATTTTAGTCAGTATATGCATTTTTTTTAAAGATTTGTTTATTTATGCATACAAGAGCTGGGGTGCAGGCCAGAGGTAGGGGCAGGAGAGGATTCACCAGAGACATACTGGGGAGCAGAATAGGCAGATCCACAAAATACACTACTGAGGGGAGCAGCGGGTGAGACAGGAGAGGTGCACTGCACCATGTGAGACATCTCCCTGGCCGGGGATTGAACTCTTGCCACATGGTGGTGACAGCCTAACAGCGGTGGGACTTCAACCTGGTACCACCAGGGAGGCCCCTCTAGCCTCCCTAAAGTGTAAATTTTAAAAGATAGACAGGAAGGAGTACCCTCCCTGCCTCTTCCCCAAAGGGAATTTTGTTTCTGTGTCTCCTGGAATACTCTGTGCATATGAAAAGCCCAGCCAATTTTCTGTTTTTAATTTCACAAGCACTAAGCACTTACTGTGTACTAGACAGTTCCAAGCTTTGTAGAACCATCTGAAGTTATTTATTCTCACTTTGCAGTTGGAGGTACTAAGGCTTTCTATTACAGAGACTTGACTAAGGCCACATGATCTGTGGCAAAGCTGGATTTAAAGCAGGGGGTAGACTCCAGGGTTCCTTCCCTGTGAACATCATAAATATGGGCAGCTGTTGTAAACTGAACAAGAAATGGGCTTGGATGAGAGTAGAGTCAAGTGGGGCCCTGAATTTGTTGGATCCCCTTTCACTGCTTTCTCCTAGCTCCTCTGTAAGGCTGAGCCAAAATCCTCCATCCCTGATCTTTCCACAGATGCCTTCATCCAGAGATTCATCGGGTGCCTTGGACCCCAAACCACACATCCTGGGTGAGGCCCTGTACATGAGGCAACTGGGTACTCACTGGACCTGCTGGGTGGATTCCCTAGGCCTTTAGCGAGCCCCTCAGCCACACCCCCTCACACCTCTGGCATGCATGTCTCCATACCAGGAATCCAGAGCCCTGATCAGCAGGAAGCTCTGGCCCATCATGACCCAGCCCAGCCCATCTTCGTGGAAGGCCCCTTCTCCTTGTGGCTTCGAGACAAATGCATCTATTACCACATCCTCAGAGCTGACTTGCTTCCCCCAGATGAGAGGGTAAGAGCCAACATTACTAGTGGAGGTTGGGAGTGGGCTAGCATTGCCAGAGGTTTCATGTAAGAGCTCAGAGGTGAAGGATAGAGGATAGTAGCTTCTGGTAGAATGGGTACATCAGGTGACTACAAAATCCTGGCCTTTTGACCCTACCTGCACCCCTCTCTTGAGGCAGAAAGTGGAGGAGATTCCTGAGGAATGGAACCTCTACTACCCAATGCAACTGGACTTGGACTATGAGCGGAGTGGCTGGGATGACTATGAATTTGACACTGAAGAAGGTAAAAACTGGGATAGGCTAGACTCCAAACACTGCACAGGACAGATGAGGCGTCAGGCCAAGAGGTGGGGCTCAGGTTGTGATTCAGCTTAGCCACCACACACATATCCAGCAGAAGTCCAGGTATACACACATACACACTTCTTGTATCTTTCCTCCATCACATTTTTGGAGCACCTCTGGGCTGGGTTCTGGGTATGACCAGTACAGACCAGGCCCTGCCCTTGGGCAGCTCTAGACAATTGGGGGTAGGAGGGATCAAGCAAGTTATACTATCGGGACCCCCAAGGGAGGAACACACAACAGTTTCAGGAACACACAACAGTTTCAGTTAGGGAGTAGGAGAAGACTTCCTGATAGAATCTTGAAGGATCATCTAGGTGAAGAGTGCAATGAAGTCTGGGCAGAGAGGATAGCTTGTGCAAAGGCTTACACACAGGAGAAAGCCAAAGGGAGCCTCAAGAGATATAGGCTTTGTGATGGGGGTTGAGGGGAAGGGGGGTACACGTAGTGCTCCAGCCCCCAATGCACAAACTTTGAGAGTGCATCTCTCTCAACAGTGGAAGAAGGTCCTATCTTCGCCATATGCATGGCGGGTGCCCATGACCAGGCCACACTGGCCAAGTGGATCCAGGGCCTACAGGAGACCAACCCAGCCCTAGCCAAGATCCCAGTAGTCTTCCGCCTGGGAAGTTCCACAGGAGAGCTCCTGGCACCCTCCCCAGGGCTAGAGGAGGCACCCTTGTCACCTGAAACCCAGGAAGAAGAGGAAGACAGAGACAGCAGCAGGACCAGAGTCGAGTCTGAGTGGTCTAAGGGACAGAGGCTGTGAACTGGTATGAAAGCATGAGATGACCTTTGGATGTACAGCAAATAAAGGCTTTCCCATTTGGGGCTGTTTTCTCTTTGGCAGTGTGGCAACCTCGTGGCACATCTTTACAAGGGATCTCCAAGCGTCCAGCACTGACAGGTCGGGCCCAGGCCTTTTTTCTGACAGCTCCCAGCCTTGTCAATCCCAGAACGCATTTAGGATAAAGGCATCGAGGGAGCCACACCCCGGGCCATTCTTGTTCTTTCTTTCCCCTTGCATGCCTCGATCCTTCAGCTCCCCCCCTCCATCTCTTGAGAAATTAGAAATAGAAAAGAAAAAACGAATAGGTTGTTGCACAAGCTTGTTGCGCGCATGCGCCATCTTCGCTCCTGTTCACTTTTTTTGGCGCCGCAGGGCAGGGAGAGTCCACGAAAAATCTCTCTGCGGCGCGGAAGATGCGCGCCACTTCCGGTCGGGCTCCTAACAACGGGGGAGGCTGGTAACCAGGGAGGGGGGGATGGCGGAGCGGGTGCCGGAGCCTGAGGCGGAGGCGGAGGCGGGCGCAGGAGGGGAGGCGGTAGCTGAGGAGGGCGCGGCGGGCCGCAAGGCGCGGGGTCGACCGCGACTTACGGAGTCTGACCGGGCCCGGCGGCGGCTCGAGTCCCGGAAGAAGTACGACGTGCGGCGCGTGTACCTGGGTGAGGCGCACGGGCCCTGGGTGGACTTGAGGCGCCGCAGCGGCTGGAGCGACGCCAAACTCGCTGCCTACCTCATTTCGCTGGAGCGCGGCCAGCGTAGCAGCCGCCACGGGTGAGGGGGCCCAACCTGTGGGTGGCAAGGAACGAGGGAGGAAACGCCCCCATCCCCCGCTGGGCCTGGTTCCGTCCTCCCCCAACCCCAGACCGCCCAGGCCCCGCCCAGGGCACCTGTGAACCACTCCCAATGGCCGGGCTGCTGCCCTGGGTCTCTAACTGCAGTCCTGGGGCCCGCCTGGCCCTCGGCCCCGCCTCGCCCCGACTGCCCAATCCTAACGTGCGTCTTAGCCTCTCTGCCCGCCTCCCGAGCTCTAGGCCCTGCCCGCTAATGCTCTTGCTGCCCAATCCTGGTACGGGACCCATCTCCAACCGTTGTAACTGCTTAATGCCGGGATTGTGCGCCACGCCTCTTGAGGCCTCTGCTGGGGTTAATACCCGCTGGCCCCTAGGACCTCAAAGGCCCCACTTCTGAAACCCCTCATTGACACCTAGGACTGACTGGATACACTTAAAACACCCAGTCCTACCCCTCTTGAGATTACGGTGCCCTTCTTGGGATTGTGCGTGGCCCCATTCCCACAGCCTAGGCCCCTTGTACTCCTAGGACCCCTCACAATCCAAGTCTCATTACCTTAAGACTCTTGGGGAGCACCTCAACCGAGGGATCTTTGGATGATGAGGAAACATCCGGTTAGCTAGTTGCTCAGGTGGAGGGCAGAGGCCTTTGCCAAGTCTGGATTTTGTAGCAGTATGAATGGAAGTTTTCCTTGTCTTATTAGACTGATATGATTATTAAATTAATTAAATGACAGGAAGGGCTTAGTACAGTCCCTGGTATATAGTGAACACTCTGGGTATTAGCTGTTGTGATGGTGTTTGTTTTCTCTCACAAGCAGTGCTGTAACAAAATCTTAGTTCTACCCTGCCTTTTACTTGCACACATTTGCATGTTTCTCTGGGGAATGAGTCAGGAATCAATCCTACCCTGCTGAATTGTACCCATCCTCTCCCCAGAGTTGCAGGTTGGTTTATATGCTTAAGAGCATGACAGGAAATACTACATGCTAAAAAATAACCTGAAGTCAACCTCCCATTATTAGAGTTTCTGATTCAGTTAGACTGAATCAGGTGCAGTTGCTGGTTTTTTTTTTTTGTTTGTTTGTTTGTTTGTTTTTGCAAAGCTCCCAGGAAGATTTGATGTGGAGCTGAGAACCACTAGTGAGAAGGAGCCTTGGAGGTTCCTAAGCTGAAAGTGGCATTTGTACAAGCTTGCCTTAACTGAGCTGGAGCTCTTTATGCCTGCTGGATTGGGACAGGGAAATTAAGACAACTCAGGCAGGCAAAAACTTTGTCCCAGGACACATGGGTAGTCAGGAAAACACACTAATCTGAGTGCGGAGTCTCCTATGAAAGGTGGGCATGAACAGAGATATGGAGTAAGTTATTTCATTTGTTCACCTGGGTGGATTTCAGTTCAAGAACTGTATAAAATTGAAAGAAGAAAAAAAACCCAGCATCACAATGGGTATAGTGGGACCAGGGTCAGTGCTGCTGTATTGAAGCAGAAATCACAGAGGGTAGGACAAAGGCAGTTTTGTGGCCTGGGAAAGCAAAAACCTAACCAGAACAGTTCAAGAGACCTGGAATGGAAAGTGGATTGTAAATTTGTCTCAGAAGCACCCCCAAGCACCTGTTGAGAAAGAGATATAATGTCAAGAGTGGAATTTCCAGTGTCTCTTCATTCTGTCAAAAACCAGGTCCTGCTTGCCAAAAAAGCAAAACAGAAAGATGAGTTTATTGCAACAGTATCAACTTGAAAGCTGGGAAACTCAAGACTATGGGACTCCCTGCTTGCTCACAGACTACAGGCTTATTGTGGGATAAATATGGATTTTATTTTGGTCATTTAGCTGATTGATTGCCTAGAGGCCTGCTTTCTTCTTTGGATCAGGGTAGCTCAGTGAGGAGAGCAAGTAAACCCAGAAATTGTCTGAACAAACTTGACATTTAGGGACTGGCTGGCATCCTCTGCCGATCTCTGAAAAGAGTTGTAGAGGCCTGTTAGATGAGGTAACGTTTCATTCTCCTTTATGTGTCTGCATTAGCCATCTTAATTTTGTCCCTGTTCAAGATTAATGCATTTTAGTTTGTCTCTACAATGCATTTGTTTGGGAATGTTCATTGAGTAGCTGCTGAGGGTATGACCATGAGTAAAACAAAGATTACTAGCTCATGGAGCTGACCTTTTAAGAGGACAGAAGGGAACAGTTTATACAGGATTCATCTACTGCAGATAAGAACCATAATAAATAAGTTATATAGTATGTGAGAGAATGAGATGGACCTTGAAACAGGAAAAGAAGAATCAAGAGTCTGACCAGGAAAAGAAGAATCAAGAGGTCTGACATTTAAATAGAGTGGCAGAGTGGGCCACAGTGAGAAGAGAGCATTTGAGTAAAGACCTAAAGGGAGACCAGGATGAGCCATACAGAAATCTGGGGAGAAGTATGTAAGGAATAAGATGCAAAGGCCTGAGGCAGGCCTGTGTACATAGGGCAGCAAGAAGGTCTGTGTAGCTGGACCACAATTAGTGAGGGAGAGGGACAGGAGAAGACAAGGATATCTAGGTGACAGTGCAGGGTTACAAGAGATGCTCTAAGTTTGGGCCTGAACATCTGGAAGTTAGTTGCTGTCAACTGAGAAGGGGCAAGGAAGCAAGATGACAACTCGCCTGTGAGTTGTTTGTGAGACCCTATGTGAGGTATCAGGGAGGGGAATGGGGCAGTGGGGAGAGGTCCATTTGGGAGGTCTGAATGTGGGCATCATAGGGCAGTGTTGACACGTGATCAAGATGGCCAAAGGGATGTGGGTAAATAGAGTGTATAAGTTAAAGCTACAGTTCTGTGCTTAGAGGAGTTAGAAGATAAGGGAGAAGTAGGTAAAAAGTGACTTTCTGGAGGCCAAGGGAAGACTATAGGAGTCCATTATGACAAGTTTGTGGAACAGTGGAGAAAAACTGTGCCTCGAGTGGCTCTAGGGAGCCCAAAATGAGGTTTTTGAGCCCAACTGTAGACAATTCAGGCAAAATATGGGGTAAAAGTGGTCAGAAAAGGAGTTCAGGATCATCTTAATCCAAGATGGAAGAAATAGTAACTTTAAATGCTTGGAAGCATGATCGAGTACAAAGCACAGTTAAGAGTAAGGGAGAGTTGCTAGGGCAACATTTTGGGGCTGGGCACTAAAAGAAAAGTAAAGCCAGGTGCTGGAGAAGCCCCTGCAATTGTCTGCAAATAACGGGTGGCTACAGTGGGGAGTCCTGGAGGAAGGAAGCAGTTTAAGGGAGAAAGGATTGTAAGAGGTTCAGAATGTCAGCACGTAGCATCACTTGTTTAATCCTCACAGTGACTGGAAGTCACTGCTATTATTCCCATTTCACAGCTGAAGAAATTGAGTTTCACAGAGGGACTAGACCTGCTTGAGATCACAGCCAGTTGCTAACAGAGATGAGATTTTTTTATTATAATAGTTTATTTTTTACATCATTTTGTTTTTCCATCTCAGTTGTAATCCCTGTGGGCTTCCCATTACCAAATCACCTGTGTGCCATCACCATAGTCCCTTGCACCCCTCACCCCCATTTTTTATCCCATTCCCCACTCCACCCCTGTAAAATGTTTCTGATATGTAGTTGTTCATTATTATTTTCTCCCCTGGTCCTTTATGCTCCTGCTATAAGTGAAACCATCCAGTATTTTTCTTTTTCTTTCTGGCTTATTTCACTAAGCATGGTCCCTTCCAGCTCATCCATGTTGCTACAAAAGGCATGTGTTTAAGAAATGAGATCTTAACTGCTGAAATTCCTAACACTCCAGCAATGGCAAAGCCTTGAGTGATAGACTTAGCCATAGACATTTGGACTTGGTTTAAGTGAGGGTCTGATTACCCAGCATGACCTTGAAGGGAAAGGTAGAACCATGGGAGGGGATAGACAAGGGGCAGTGGCACCCTGGACAGAGTCTGAGGCAGGAGGGACTGAGGAACTATCTTGGGACCAGACTTAGGGTGTGGTTGCTCAGAGTTGTTATTAGATCAGGTAAGGATCAGATGAGGTGGTGGTACAGAAAGTGGCCCTGGACTAGCTGTCGGAATATTTGTGGCAAGAATGTGTTCCCAGTCAACTCAGTGAGGAAGTATTCTAAGCCCATGCTCCATACAGCTTTGATAATCACAGTAACAATCACTGTCACTTGCTGAGTGATTTCTAAGTGCCGATGGCTACTCCAAATTCCCTACAATGCACATAATTTTCATTCCAACCAGTGTGGAAGGCACTGTTATAATCCCTAGCTGCAGATG